TTTTGTACAAATTTCATAGATGCTTGGATCATTGTGAACAATTAATTAAAATAACTTACGCAGTAAAAATGTTTCCTCGATGAAGATTAATAAACGCGAGAACGATTTGGAAAAAGAAAAAGGAAAAAAAGTCAGAAGACACAAATCTTGGACAAAAATCAAATTGAATCAAATATTTTATTAATCTGCTTTAAGTGAGAACAGTTAAAGGGATTGTAGAAGTAATATCAACTGACCCTCCATTTTAAAGAGAATCGTGTCTGATTTACAACAGTACAATTTAAACCTTTTTATCTATTATATAACTATTATGAGAATATTTACTATCAGAAGAGATGTTAAATTCCCTAAATTGTTTCTGCATCTTAACTCCGCAAGTCACATTTAAAGAACCCACGTCAGCTAGAATAATAAGAATTTCTTATTCATCACTGATCAGTGAAAAGTATTGAAATAAAGGTTTGTGTTCTTTATCGATCATAACACTTCCTTTAAACAATACAAAAAGTTTAGATTCAAATTATTTTATCTTTCACATATTTTTATTTTTAGAAATTATTCCTTTAAATTTAACTTCTTAAAAAGTAGTAAAAGACACAAAAAGGTTTCTCTTTACCAAAAATGGCTTCTCAAGAGCAATTCTTTAAAATGAAAAAATTAATGTAATTTGATATTTTCTAGAAAAGAAGCTCATCTAACACTAAGATTTATTCTTTTATTGTAATCTGAATATGAACTAAAAAGAACCTATTTCTAAACGAACCAAAAGGAATATTGCGACAACGAGAAATGTTAAAAATTGGTTTGATTTGTTTTTCATCTAGTTTTCATTGAAATAGAATTATGATTGAAATCGAAAATATTTGCAAGAAAAATGGGCTTTGTTAAGCCATATTAGATAAGAAAATGTTACCGCTTGGGATTTTCAGGGCTCGGAGGTGATTCTGTAATTTATGCGGCTTTGCAGTAATTTCCATGGGGTTCATAGCTGCCTCCCCCTCCCCCCATTCCTCTTTATTTCGACCATACATGATCTTTTATTTTGTGTTCGTTAAGGACGATTTCTATCTCAATATAAGTTCTTCTCTTCTGACGATTTAATTTTTATTTTTATTTTCAGGTGTAAACTGATAATAATTGTAGAAGAATTTTAAAACACCTACACAGTGATCCAAAAGTTGCAAGCTCTCGCGCATAAATCGATGATATTTTTGCTGAAAACTTTCTGAAGACTAAAGCTTAAAACAATTGCTGAATAATAATGCATAGGCTTAGTGATACAAAAAAATACAAATCAAAGACCGATAAAAATCAAAGAATGAGGCGTTGTGACAATTCAAAGTCGATCAGGTCTTGAACGTTTTTGCAACTTTTCGCTCAGTAGTACAGTCTAACAAATAAAAAAATAAGAACAAATCTTTGGGCTAGTTTATACAGTCTGAAGACTTTCTAGTCCGCAAACTAGTGTCTGTAATTGTAAATATGTAATATATCACTGATTTTATTCCATGACCATATTAACAGAAAATTAAATATATCTAAATACAATATTATAATGATAACAGAAAGATAAGTATATCTAAATACAATAGTATAATGTTAACAGAAAGATAGATATATCTAAAATCAATATTATAATGATAACAGAAAATTAAATATATCTAAATACAATATTATAATGATAAGAGAAAGATAAGTATACCTAAATATATTAATATAATGATAACAGAAAATTAAATATATCTAAATACAATAATATAATGATAACAGAAAGATTTATATATCTAAAATCAATAATATAATGATAACAGAAAGATATAGAATACTATAATGATAACAGAGAGATAAATATATCTAAAATCAATATTATAATGATAACAGAAAGATAAGTATATCTAAATACAATAGTATAATGATAACAGAAAGATAAATATATCTAAAGTATAATGTTAACAGAAAGATAGATATATCTAAAATCAATATTATAATGATAACAGAAAATTAAATATATCTAAATACAATATTATAATGATAACAGAAAGATAAGTATATCTAAATACAATAGTATAATGTTAACAGAAAGATAAATATATCTAAATACAATAATATAATGATAACAGAAAGATAAATATATCTAAATACAATAATATAATGTTAACAGAAAGAGAAATATATCTAAATACAATAATATAATGTTAACAGAAAGAGAAATGTATCTAAATACAATAATATAATGATAACAGAAAGATAAATATATCTAAATATATTATTATAATGATAACAGAAAATTTAATATATCTAAATACAATATTATAATAATAACAGAAAGATAGTATATCTAAATACAATATTATAATGATAACAGAAAGATAAGTATATCTAAATACAATAGTATAATGTTAACAGAAATATAGATATATCTAAAATCAATATTATAATGAAAACAGAAAGATAAATATATCTAAATATATTATTATAATGATAACAGAAAATTAAGTATATCTAAATACAAAATTATAATGATAAGAGAAAGATAAGTATATCTAAATACAATATTATAATGATAACAGAAAGATAAGTATATCTAAATACAATAGTATAATGTTAACAGGAAGAGAAATATCTAAAATCAATATTATAATGATAACAGAAAGAGAAATATATCTAAAATCAATAACATAATGATAACAGAAAGATAAATATATCTAAAATCAATACTATAATGATAACAGAAAGATAAATATATCTAAAATCAATATTATAATACAAATCAATATTTGTGAGTTAGGGAGGTAAAATCAAACGACAAGGCGTTGCTACGCTTTAAAATCAACCCGTTCTTGAAAATTGATTCAACTTTTTTAAAATCAACCCGTGGCCGAATTTAAAGAATTTGAGCGGCGGTTTAAATTTATGCCGCGGTTTAAATATGGTTGGTTCCACTAAAAATTGTATCACATGTTTCAAGATTTAAGCCGGCGCTGAATTTTAACCGGGTTTTGGCGGATTTAAACCGCGGCTTAAATTCTTTAAATTCCATCTCCGTATAGATATCCGACCCTCTGAGCCCAAGATCATAAACAAATTCTGTTGGAAAATAAAGATAAAGCTTTCATTCAATTTGTTCCCTAGTAGTTAGATCTAATTCCTAGATCATATTTTTACTCGATTTAAACTTTCCAATTTGGAAAGATGACACTCGGATCCCATTTTCTTGTGAACAGAAATTTCAGCAAAATTTTAATTTATTGAAAATTGTGTGCACATACATATATCATTATGTTAAAAATATTTTTTTTTAAATAATAAATCCATTTTTTATATACATAATACTTTTCTTGATGGTTGTTTGTTTTTTTGCATTTAATAAATGTAGGTACTAATAAGGGGGGGGGGGGGAAACTTAAAACCCCCCCTTTTCTAAAGACTAACTTAATAGTTTACTGTAACTGTTGTCCATCAGATACTTTAAGGTGCTTTAACAGAACTAATTATGTATGATCAAATCAGCCTGTTCTCCGGGGAAAAAACGATCTTTAATTTTTAAAATGTGTAAATATAATTTTTGTGTTGTGTTCCCTCACATTGTCATTGATTTTGTGATTCATTGATAAATGATGATAGTTTTACTTTTCATCAATCCGATAGATTTTAGGTTTTAACCAACGCTTGTATTGAATATGATTCTTTCCTAAGTTTATTATGATTTCAGCATTGAAACAAATTATAGTTTCAAATGACGTAACAGAGCCACCAAATGAAATCATCGATATGGTGTGACATTTTTTTAAAATTTATTTTACAGCTAAAAGCAAAATTGTATTCTTCTTTTAATTCTAATAAACCTTCTTATTTGATATCCCTGCAGAGTACTGTCCTGTCCCAACGGGATATCATAATATCCAAAAGAAATTAAATTAATCCTTACATTAAAAAAGTTCTTAAATTCTGTCAAATAACATTTTTTTAAACATCTAATTTACTCTGTTTTCTCCTTAAGCTTTAGTCTTGTGCCGTGTGCGTGATAATGTTTAATATTCTAAGTTGGAACTGAATTGGAAAACTACCAGAAACTTGCAGAACTTTCTTAATTCTAAATTGATAGAGTGCAAAAGATAGACAAATTCGGTTAAGCGAGGGAAAAAATGGAAGAAATTAACTTAAGGTTAATCTGGGAAGTGATTGACTTAATTAGTTGATCTAGCTGAAACCATTTTGAATAATTAATCCATGGATGCATTTAAATTACAGTAATATTTGCTTGCATTTTAGTGTTTCTAAATTTTTACTGATTAAATTGGTTCAATACATGTTATACAGTCCCTTTCCAAAAGCGTAACACATGCCTAATCATGTCAAATAAAGGAATTAAGTCTTTCCCACAAACTCTGATTGTCTAACCCCTGCTTGCAGCAGAATGTCGTAGACCTTGGATATTTCAAACTATAAAAATTCTGTTAGATTAAATAATCTAAGTTTGAAATTCAAAGATTTACTCCATCAAATTACAAAGATACAGGGATTAGAAGACTTGAGTTTATGACAATGCCTCAACTCCTTTACAAGATTATTATTCCAAGTGACTTTCCAATTACAGACTACCATTATCATTTTACAAGATTATTATTCCATCTAAAAATAGAATTGATTTGGAAAAATCAATTTTGGAGAATTTATGTTCTGGAAAAGACGCAACTCTATCATTCCTAAATGTGAATGAATGTGTCTTTGTTACAAACTCGAACGTTTCTAACCCCAATATCTGTGTTATCTGATAGCGAAAAACTTTCAAACTGAGATTTTTTGATCTAACAGAATTGTTTGAAATATCTAAGGTCTATGGGTAGCAAAGATATTCTGATTAGAAAATCAAAGTTTGTGGCAAAGACTCAATTCCTTTCTTGGTTTTTCTAAAAGAATTAAAAGAGCAAATTCTTCAGTATTTTGAAGTACACCTCTAACAAGAAACTCCTATCTGTTAATACTATTATTTGATTGCATGTAGGTAAAAATTATTTATTTTAAATCTAATGTTTAAATAAGATACAATTTTTAGATAATTTTAGAAACAATGTTTGATATGGTAGTTCTCTCTAAGTTTACTTTACTTCCTGTATCCATAGATGGCACGGAACAGGTTTCTAAAATAGAGAAAATGTTTAGCATCTGTACTCCTCCGCAGAATTGAACTGTATGCCCCGTAAAATGCTTAGTGCTGGAGTTAGTTGCCTTCATTTTTGATAATCCATCATTTTGGAGATTTTTGTTTAAAGCCACTTAGTATTACCTAGGGTCGTTGGGGTCTCTGAGCCCTCTCTTGGACATGGCCTGTTCCATGTACATACTGTACAGTGCAGCCAGGTCCTCGTTCCTGAAAAAAAGTACTGGTGAAATGTAATGTAATGCACATGTGCACAATCCGGATCGTCAAAATTGCATGTAATGTTAAAGGGAGTGTTCTTGAAAAATGAATGGTGGTAGAGACTGATTCTGAATTGAAATGGATATAGATCACTACTAATTCTATTTCTATCTATTGCGTCTGTAAGGAGAAAACAGATAAAAACTACGCTTAACGTTTAAACTATTTTCTTGTTATAGACAAAACAGACAGAAGTAAAATTAGTAGCGATCTATAACGAATTAAGTTCGGAATCAGCCTATACCCCATTTATTGGTCAATGCTTAAAAGAAGCTGCATCAACCCCCAGAGGTATTGAGTAAAGTGGTAAAGGTGGCATATCCTGCAGTTTCTTTGTTTTTACAGAAAATGTCGCTTTCTGCAGATTGTTGGACGATTTTTGAGAATCCATGGGCAACGTGTATATGTACCATAAAAATATTTATAATTCTAAACAATAAAATTTAACCATAGATATTGTACGTATATGTAATATGTACCTTAAAGATTTAAAGATCTAAAGATCGAGTTTTCAAATTTTAAAATGGATACTTTATGTCCACTGTAGCTTCATGCTTATAAAAATCATTTATTCAAAAACATCCTAATATTTGAATGCTAATAAAGTTTTAAACACAAAAAATTGACAAAAAAGTTTTATATCTAATAATATTTTAGATGGCATACACATGGCATTTAAAGGTTGACATTACAGAATCATATCTTTCTTAGACAATGTTTTTTGGGAAAAACTTTTTATGAATAAATTATGAATAAAAAATTTATTTCAAGGATTTTGTCCAATGCAAGTGTTATATATTTATTTAAAAATTTATATTATTGCAGCTTTTTGAGAACTTTTAGAAACACTTTCGTAATAAAGTTAAAAAAACAATTTGATAATTTCAAGAACCCATTGTAGATGACAGTCAAATATGGTCACTTGCAAAGAGTATAAACCATGGAATCCCAAATTTATACGACTCAGGATGAATTAGTGCAACTTAATACACTTTTGTTCCTTAGGTTCCCACCTTATCCCTCTGTCCTCCATGTGTATTCCTGGAGAGAGTAGGGTTGGATCTACAGTATTCCTGGAGAGAGTAGAGTTGGATCTACAGTATTCCTGGAGAGAGTAGGGTTGGAGCTACAGTTTACCTAGAGAGAGTAGAGTTGGATCTACAGTATTCCTGGAGAGAGTAGGGTTCGATCAACTGTATTCCTGGAGAGAGTAGGGTTGGATCTACAGTATTCCTGGAGAGAGTAGGGTTGGATCAACTGTATTCCTGGAGAGAGTAGGGTTGGATCTACAGTATACCTAGAGAGAGTAGGGTTGGATCTACAGTATACCTGTAGAGAGTAGGGTGTGATCTTTAGTATACCTGGAGAGAGTGGGGTTGTAACTATAGTATACCTGTAGAGAGTAGGGTTAGATTTAAAGTATTCCCGGAGAGAGTAGGCTTGGATCTACAGTATACCTGGAGATAGTAGGGTTGGGTCTAAGGTATACCTGGAAAAAGTAGGTTTGGATCTAAACTTTACCTGGATTCAGCGACTACAGGTTCTTCATATGCCCTCTTGTAGTTCAGATTGTTGATACCGTACACTCTGTTGAACAGGTTCCTGTACAATGTAAACATTTTGTTGTACTTTGTGATATTTAAGCCAACACTAGAAAGCTAAGGATTTAGCTGTGCTAAAAATATACATATAAATAATTGTCTCAAAACATTTTTTAAAAAAGTGAATATTTGCAAATTATCTTTTTTCCATCTCATAATCTGAGTTCGTTTCCCTTATGTCCATTTGACAGCCCAAATTTTTATTTTGAATAATCTTTTTTTTATTTGTTTATCTTCTTGTGATTTTTACAATTTTTTTCATCTATTTTGATGGTTATTATATCGTTAGAACTGACGAGGGTCAACCCAGACCGAAATATATTTTCAATTAATGTGGAACAAACATCTACTTTTTTACTTTGCAGAGGTTTGGTCCAATACCATCACCAAATTTTAAATATATATATAAAGTTTAGACTATCAAAGTAATCACCAAAGTTTATGGTTGAAAAAGATTAAACTTAAAAACCAACGCACAAAAATTAAACAAATCCAATTTTTACCTTTCTCAGTTTTTTGTTTTCTTATTTTTATTGTGAATCTAAAAACATTCATAATGCAATTGTTAAATTGTTCCCATTTAAATAATTAATAGTAAAAGTATTCTGAAATTTTTCAGAAGAATTTAAAATAAAACCAATAAAATGACAAGATTTTATTCAAAATATGATAATCACAATTTTAACAGTGTAAACACTTTTGCTATTTTAGCTCATTGAACTTTTTAAAGTCTTTGATCTCAAGTATTCTTTAGTTGTAACTTTTAAACTGAATCTTGGTATTTCGTGTTTTCAGTTTTTCTTAACTGTTAAAACTGTTTAAAGTCGATGTTGTAATCTGAATTTATTTTACTAGTTTTCCTTAGCCTTACTGATGGAAAACACAACTGGAGGCGTTATGATAACGCAAAATCGTAATAAACCCCTCGACAATATCTTGTAAATCTTAGGTTTAATATGTTGCTTAGTAACCCTGCGACCCTGTATTTATCCAACCAGCAATCAGGGGCGTATTCAGGAATTTACGATTTTTTCTTTCCGGGGGGGGGGGGGCTGAGCCCAAATTCCCCCCCCCCCTTGTATATGCCTCTGAGTCTAATATAAATAGAAACAATTTATCAAACATGTGAGGAAATATTCTTTATATCTTCCTAGATAGATGGTATACATTGTGTTGTAGAGATATTAATCAAAATGTTCATAATACCTAAAACTTACAAATACAACCTTTTCATTTTTTACAAAAGGTATTTTAGAAATAAATTCTATTAAAATTCGATGGATATCTGTAAAGGAATTAAGTCTTTGCCACAAACTCTGATTTTCTGGTCCCTATATCTTTGCAACCTAATTTTGTCAACCTTATAATATATTTCAAATTATTTATTCTGCTTTATCAACTAATCTAATCTATAAATATCAAAGGTTTACACCATCAGATTGCAAAGATATAGGGATGAACAAATTTGTGTCGATGGCAAAGACTACATTCCTTTACCAGACTTCTTAAACAGATTTTGTTTTGAAAACTATAAAAGAAATTGAATCTTTGTCACAAGCTCTAAATTTCTAATTCCTATATTTTTGCAACCTTTAATATTTCAAAAGGAGTTGAGTTTTTGCCACAAACTCTAATTTTGTAATCTCTATGTCGTAGACCTTAGATATTTCAAACTATAGATACTTATAGATAAAATAATCTAAGTTTGAAATATCAAAGGTTTGCACCATCAGGTTGCAAAGATATTGAAATCAGAAGATTTGAGTTTGTGGCAAAAACTCAATTCCTTTGTTATAACAGAATTAATAGTTTAAGATATCTAAGGTCTCCGACATTGGGTTGCCAATAAATAAGCATTAGAAGAACTCAGTTTCTTTACGAGATTCTTTTTTATTCGAAATATAGCAGATATTGAAATTCTCTCAAGTCAGTCGATTTAGTTTAGAATCCTTAAAATTTACCTTGGATCGTTTGGATCCTTGTATCCTCTCTTCATCAAGGGATCCTGGGAATCCAATCCAAAGGCCCGGCCTTCAACCTCAAATCCAACCTAAATATTGTCTTTGTAATTTCAATTGACACGTTGAAAGAGGGGCATGTCGGTTGGGAATAGGACATGTCGGTTGGGAATAGGACATGTCGGTTGGGAATAGGACATGTCGGTTGGGAATAGGACATATCGGTTGGGAATAGGACATGTCGGTTGGGAATAGGACATGTCGGTTAGGAATAGGACATGCCGGTTGGGAATAGGACATGCCATGCTTTATAAATTGAGGATCTCTTTAAAATGTGTCAACAGACCCTTTAACTTCTTAAATAAACATCAAAATGATGTTTTTTTAAGATGCTTGTTCAAACCTGGATAGAGTTAAATGTTAGTTCTAGAAAAAAACATTTGTAATCAACAAAAAGTAAAAACCAAAACTGCGCACTTGACACAAACTCTAATTTTCTAATCTTTATATTTTTGCATTCTGATGTTGTAAACCTTTTACAGGTTGCAGACTTAGAATAAAAAAATTGGAGTTTGAGGCGAGTAAGCCCAGAGATTAATAAGATTCGCAGCACTAATGTACGGTCAGAACTCTTGCTGAAATAGCTTGATCTTGATTTTCATTTTAAGCACTTTTGAATTTTGGGGATCAATAATCAGTCCCTCAATTAAAGTTATCCCATCCGGGCATGACCAGCACTTAATATTGAAGAGAAATTGAATTAATCCGGAGATCATAATATGATGAATATACTGATTGATCCTGAGATTTACAATACTAACTTATAACTTTGCGTCAATTATTGATTTCTCTTTTTTTCCCCAAAATTATTTGATTTATCTGTTTGTACTCGATGCAGCAGCTGGAATCGAAAAATATTTTCATTTTCAATTCAGTAAATAATCTTTTTTCAAGCCGGCCATAAATCTGTTCCGTTTCTACAAGTTCTACAAAAATTTATATCTTCACCAATTGGAACAAAAATATAAATTGTTTCACAAATCCGAAATCCACGAGTTTGGATGAAAATGCGTTTTATTTCATCCTAATCCAATAATTCTAAATAATTTACAAATATTTAATGTTTTTCAAACTAAAATTTATAAAGCCCTAAGGCACTGCCAAAGTGAGGGGTACAATTTTGAATAATTACGCTTTTGGATCCAAATTTTATTCTGAGATAATTCTTGGTTTGATTTTCACAATAATTTTTATCCTTAGCTTAGAAGAGTAAAATATAAAACAGGATTCGAAGAACTTCTAAAAATACAATTGTTTTAGCGACCTAGCCCTAGAAAACCATAGAAAGGAAAATTTCCTTAACAAATCTATTTAGAATTCAATGTCTTTATATAAATAAATAATTTTACAAAATTGTATATTAGTATTCTACTACTACTCCTTTGCACCTGGAGCAACAAATAGAATAGGAATTACTCAACCCAAACCAAACCTTGCCATTTTCTTTAACTTTTCGCGAATTCTTAGAAATTTTGATTAACCTCCTTGTGACAGCACAGAAACCTGATCTAGCAATTATCAATAGAATGGAGGAAAAGATGGATATTTTTGAGCTTACTGTCAAATTGGAAACAAATATCAAAAATGCCAACACTCAAAAGATGAACATTTTATTACAGATATAACAACTAGGGATGTGTCTGTTCACCCTTTTGAAATCGGTTCAAGAGGATATATCTCACCATCAAATAAAGCAAATCTAAAGAAACTGCATAAGTTAGGTTCAAAGCAATGTGCGAAAATCTATCAAGCCTTGCAGTGCTACCATCATACCATAGAAAACAAAAAACACTAGACTGGGAACAAAAATCTCTATTTCTGAAAACCACCTCTGAATAGCTAAACTATACTCATGCTAAAAGTCTTGTATTGCACCTGTTTTGGCAAACCCTGTCAATTATAAAATGCGATATCCAGAGAAAATAGTATTAGTTTGTAAACTTTTATATTGTTTAATGTAATTTTGCTTTAGACAAATATAAATTTTGAATATAATAAACTAATATGATTTAGTACAGGGTTAATCTACTTTAAATCCATCGGCATCAGACCAAAATATACCAAAATTTACATTTTTATCATGAATAAGAAAAATTTGACAGGATTAGCATAATTCAAATTTCAACAATATCCCACCTTTCCGCTGCTTTTTCTTTTTAATAGTTTTTCAGGAAAAGGTGTTTTTAATAAAATAAATTAATTCTTATTTTTGACATTTTGCTTTAAAAACAGACAAAAGAATTGAGTCACAAACTCTGATTTTCTAATTCCTATATCTTTGCAACCCAATGTTGTAGATATGAATTGTATTAGATCAAACAATCTAGATTTAAAATATTATATGCTCAAACTATCAGGTTGCAAAGATATATGGATTAGAAAATCAGAGTTTGCGATTCAACTCAATGTATTTTTCGGTCCGTTGAAAAAAGGTTCATATTGGTTATATCCGCGAATTGCTAAATCTCTAGCAACAATTCAAAAAGAAAAGAAAAATAATTGAGAATTATACCCTGTATTCTAATATGTCTAATTTTATGTAAAGTTATTTAAAGTTTATTTGCTAGTTTTGAACATGAAATTTCCTATTTAAAAACTGTCAAACTTATGTCACGTACAGAGAAAACTTCCCTCCGAAAACAATATTTTAAAATTTTTTAATCAGAGCTTGGATTGTTCCATCCGTACTTCTTACTAACATATGAAGTCTCTGACTGTGTCCGTCCTATATACGGTGAAACATCACCACTGTAGGCTAAAAAGTTATGGAAAGCATAGTAAAAATAGATTATGTGCTGACACCTTTACTTAGGGAGACTTTAGTGTCCAAACACTATAGTACGGCACGGTGGATTAGGGTCAATTTGAATTCGAACCGCACCGACCCCTTGTACCGGCAAGTATCGGCCTGACCCTATATCCTATGCCGGCTCGGTTTCAACTTTAATGGCGCGGCCAGATTGTTTACAGTATACTGCCTATCATAGACCACTAGCTTAGTTTACTGTGACGGAGACATAAAATGACGTCCTAATTACTCCCGTTTAATGATTACGATCCAATCCAGACTAGCTCAGAGTACGTTTCTTCCTAACGCTACAATGGTCGATCAGATAACGTCTACTGTGCACGTCCTAATAATCTATTGACGGCGCAGCTCTGGAACCTCAGATCGGTCTTGAAGTCCTTGGCGATCTCCCTGACCAGACGTTGGAAGGGGAGCTTGCGGATGAACAAGTATGAACATTTTATCACAAATTTAACAACTAGGGATGTGTCTGTTCACCCTTTTGAAATCGGCTCAAGAGGATATATTTCACCATCAAATAAAGCAAATCTAAATTAACTGCAAAAGTTCTGCAAACCTGCAGTGTTAGTTTCAAAGCAATGTGCGAAAATCTATCAAGCTTTGCAGTACCGTCATCATACCACATTTTTATTAAAAATTAAACTGTAAACTTTCATATTGTTTAATGTAATTTTGCTTTAGACAAATATAAACGATGAATAATATTTATCATAAATATATTCTGTTGATATTCCCTTTTTTATTTTCTGTGAACAGATATCTGATTTCCGGTGTTTTTATCAACTTAATGTCATAAAAGACAAAATGGAATGGTAAAAACCAGTTTGTCTGGTAAACAGTGACGTCATAATACCGATGACGTAGATCAAAAATCAGTTTCTCAAAGATAATTTCAGGCTTTTAACCTAAGAATATAAATCCTACTGCATGGTAAAATGTTTGATAAAATAACTACTTTCTCGATGCCGCGCTAGAAGTTAATCAAAATCACTTCTTAAAGTAATAATAACAAAAAACAACAAAAAAACAAAGGATAAAAGCTAATTTGAAGTTTAAAAAACAAAATCAGCAAGTAGAAATAAAAAATAACTAAAAAGTAAATTAAAAGTTCTTGATAAATAAAATCTCATCAAATATTCATTGTAAATATCAAATTCTATCAGACAAAATGAAACTTCCACTAACTAAAATAATGTGAAAAATGGTCTTGCAAGAAAGAACATTTTTTTTAAAGACGGATTTCAAAGCGGAAAAGGGGGCTTATTTGGAAAAAACGTTTTAAATGAAAAGTATTGGATTTTGATAAAGAAGTAATAGAAACGTTTTAAATGAAAAGTATTGGATTTTGATAAAGAAGTAATAGAAACGTTTTAAATGAAAAGTATTGGATTTTGATTAAGAAGTAATAGAAACGTTTTACGACAATAAATTAGTTTACAAATGGTTTTCTGTCTTGGGGTTGTTAATTTATATCGACTCATTGGTTGATTCAACCCTTTTTTATTTATTTACATTTCGAAAAAACCGGGTTTCTTGAATAATATTATCTATTTTATAATAAAATAAGACATTCGTATATATGTTCCCTATTTCCGGCCAAACGACTGGACCCAATGGAACCCAAGGGTGCCCTGGGGGTAGCATCTGCATAGGCTAATAAAAAGTCGATTTTTTTTTGCTTTAAAAATAAAAACTTTTTTTCAGCTAGTAACTAATAAATTCTCTAGAAACACGGTTGGTTTCACATGCTTTAACATTTTTTTCAAAGAAGCTAAAATATAATTTTCTACTTCTCAAAAAATCAAACTTTTTAATCTCTATATCTGTGCAACCTGATGTTGTAAAAATTTGATATTTCAAACTTAGATTGTTTGATCTAACAGAATATAAAGTATGAAATTTTTAAGGTTTATGATATCGGGTCAAAAAGATGTTGGGATGAGCAAATCAGAGCTCGTGGCAAAGACTCAATTCCTTTGCAACCTAATGGTGTAAACTTTGAAATTCCGGACTATTTGATCCAGCCTTTCATAGTTCAAAATTTTAAGATCCACCAAATGAACTGAATTCTTGCATACAACTTTAATTTTCTAACCTCTTTATCTTTTCAACCTGATGGTGAAAACCTTTAATATTTCATCTTTCAGAATTCACAGTTTTAAATATTAAAGGTCCACATAATCAGGTTACAAATATATAAAGATTAGTAACTTAGAGTTTGAGACGAGTAACCAGTTACAGGTTATTCTTTTCTAGTTTTGAATGACGCAACATTTGATAGTATGATATCGTTAGATTGAATATGTAATAACTAATAGGAGGTATAATTTTGAAAATAATATATATAAGTATTATTAATCTTTACAGAAATTTTTCTGTAAGATAAAATTTGCTTTGCTTTTGACTTCTAAAGAAAAATACATTTAAAATAAAAATCCAAAAAGTAATTTTCTAAAATGTGTCTCAAGACGCTGAATATTTTTCATATTTGTTAGTTTTGATATTATTTAAATTGATTGACAGAAGCGAAGAGAAATTTCTTAACTTCCGAAATATTTGCCTCAAAAATATAGTTTTGCCTTCAGTATGCTTTCTCTATGAAAGAAATTGAGTTTTGCCATAAACACAAAGGAATTGAGTTTTTGCCACAACCTCAAATTTTCTAATTTCTATATCTCTGCAACCAGTGGGTATAAACCTTTGATATTTCAAACTTAGATTATTTGATCTAACAGAATTTATAGTTTGAAATATCTAAGGTCTACGACATTGGGTTGCCAAGATATAGGGATAAGAATATTTGAGTTTGTGGCAAGCACTCAATTCCTTTTCAAATCCCTTTATACCCTGATATTATAAACCTTACAGTTCTAACAATTTTAAAGTTTTAAATAACAAAGGTCTAAGACATCGGGTTGAAAGTATAATAGGGATAAAAACCTGACTTCAGATAAATGTCTTTTGAAATCCATGAATATTATCTATTCTGGAATGATGATATAAAATTTACGCATGTACCATGCAGTAGATTGAATATATAGAGAATATATATTATATTAAATTAAAATTGCCAACAAGAAGTTCCGATGTTGCAACCTTTAATCTAAAAAGTTAAATAAGAGATTTAAATAATTATTTGGTACTTTTAGATCAAAATTCATTAATCGAAGTTTTTTTTCGTTTGAAATTGAATTTTTTATGTTTTTGTTGAGGGTGTAAGGGGGATGATTAAAATTGATATAACTGTTATATAACTGGTTATAACAGTTTTATTTATTTTGAATCGGGACAAAAAAATTAAAAGTTAAAAAAATGCTAAGAATATATGTATACCATGACAAGAGCGAGTCCAAGACAGAGCAGGATTGATCCTTTCTCCATGGTGTCCTGACGGGAAATGAGGATCTCCGGGTTCCTCCTGACTCCTGCAGCAAACCTCGAACCATGAGGTTTTACTCCGGGTTCTGGTTCAGACACTCTCTCTTAGGATTGGACTCTTATCGGTAGTCACCTNTATGCATACATCAGCTCATTTTTCACCTGTTGTACTCACCGAATGTGATGACGTCAGGGGTCTATAGAATTGGCATCAATATATCAACATCAGTAGGAAGGGTGAAAAGATTGATGACTAATCCGCCATTTTAAAAAGTTAAATGGACTGTAAGCAATGTTTTAAGTTAATCTCCGTGGAAAGGTGACTGTGTCCTATTCGCAACAGTTCCCTTCAAATCTTTGACTGCTCAACGACCTAATCTCATTTATCTACGAAAACGCTCCTAATTGTTCACCACTTTGTTTGTAAGCTGTTTTAAGTTAAAATAAAACATTTTAAGGATTTGATTTTATTCTTTTGTTAAAATTGGTTTTAAAATATTAGAAAAAAAGGAAAACAAAAAAATATTTGAACCCTCTCTACTTAGAGTTGAAATTTAAACATATTTAATAATTCATAAGGTTAATAAATTTGGTAAAAGATGTTCAAAGTTTTAATATAAAATTTAGAATTGTGATTTTTTATTTCTTTTTCATCACTTTTCATTTCTCTTACATTTAAAGAAAATTTGAACGAAACTACATGGGACGGTGCAGATAAGAGTGCTCGAAACATAATTTTGTTAACCATTTACAAAATCTCCGTTGTAAAGTCGTCTTTAACTTAAGTTCCCTCTCGGAGACACCAAAGCAAACAATTTCAACCCCCCTCTCCTCTTCTCTCCGCCGGAGTTAGAAACAAAACCTCACGTGTTGTAAATCTATTTTCAAAAGTTAAACAAAGAATAATTTTCATATAAAGAATTAGTGACTTTCGTTGAAAATCAATTGTCATCTCATTTCAGAAGTTTAAAACGTCTTTAAGTACTGTTCAAAACCATTAATCCCCAACTCACGAAAATAGATCCTTAGCATTTTTTCCCCATTATAAACATTATTTTTTACCATTTATACACATAATAACAAGATGCAATTTTTCTGGAAATAAAGATATTTCATTATTATCGATTTTTGAGACGGGTTCATTCTGTTTGTGTTTCTGCTGCAGTAATCGGGGATAATTGTTTGGGAAATATATGTCCTTCAACGACCGATCTCAGCAGACTTGTTTATTGTATCATCTAGAGAATCTGGTTTTCTTCCTGTCTATAGAAACGCAATTACCCGAAAACAAAAACTGGATTAACGTCTGTAAAATATAATTGTAATGCATTTAGACTTGTATCCTATTAATGTGTCAGAGTCCAGTGTTGCCCTTTTAGTATGTTAAAAAAAATTTAATTTTTTGTGTTTCGAGATTCCAACATAAAGTAAAAGGCACTTATACAATAAAATACTTGAAACCTAAATTTTAAGAAGGGATTTATTAGTTCAATTTTAAATGTTATTATCCTTTTTATGGATATTTAAACTTCTATAGTTTTACTTGGTTTAAGCCAATTTGTTTAAACTAATACCATTTTTAAAGACTAAAAATATAATTGAAATATATTTACAACGAAAGGAATTGAGTCGTTGCCACAAACTCTGATTTTATAATCCCAATAAATCTGCAACCAAATGTCGTAGACCTTAAATATTTCAAACTCTGAATTCTGGTAGATTAAATAATATAAATTTGAAATATCAAAGGTTTAAGCCATCAAGTTGCACAGATATAGGGATTAGACAAATTAAGGTTGTGGCAATCAATATATTGATATTGACTATTTGACACAACAGCTGTATCCTTTAATCCCTATTCTGAACAACATTGAGAGAGACATAGTTATTTGTCTTCATTAAAACCTTAAATTCTGTTAATTTAAAGGGACTGTAAGCGTAACTTCAATGTAAAGACGACAATGCCAGATTTACAACGGTACCGGCCTTGTAAGCTTTGTCTGCTCAAGCATGAATTAGATATCCCTGCTCCATGGTTTTGTTTAATTGAATTCTTTTCTTTTCTTCAGGGACTTTTCTGCAAAATTGACTTGCGCAGTTCGTGCTTAAAAGAAAAAATGAAGAAAATATTAGAATTAAACACATTTGAGATCAGATTCAGGTATAAAGGGTACCGTTTTAGAAAAAAAAGCATTAATATTATTTTTGTTCATCCGACATATTGAAATTGAAATTCCATCTACAGTATCTTCAAGAAGCAAAATATAAAAGTATGCTAGCAGTGAAGCATGATATAAAAACAAATATAAATATATAAATACAAAATATTAAAGTATGTTAGGAGTGAAGGATAATATAAAAACTTGAAGGGGATAAATACAAAATATAAAAGTATGCTAGCAGTGAAGGATAATATAAAAACTTGAAGGGGATAAATACAAAATATAAAAGTATGTTAGGAGTGAAGGATAATATAAAAACTTTAAGAGGATAAATACAAAATATAAAAGTATGCTAGGAGTGAAGCATGATATAAAAACTTGAATGGGATAAATACAAAATATAAAAGTATGCTAGCAGTGAAGCGTGATATAAAAACTTGAAGGGGATAAATACAAAATATAAAAGTATGCTAGGAGTGAAGCATGATATAAAATCTTGAAGGGGATAAATACAAAATATAAAAGTATGTTAGCAGTGAAGCATGATATAAAACTTGAAGGGGATAAATACAAAATATAAAAGTATGCTAGCAGTGAAGCATGATATAAAACTTGAAGAGGATAAATACAAAATATAAAAGTTTGCTAGCAGTGAAGCATGATAACTTGAAGAGGATAAATACAAAATATAAAAGTATGCTAGCAGTGAAAAATGATGTATAAAGGAGCAGGTGTTTATTGTATATTTATATTCACTAATGGATTGCTTTATTATCCAAACATATTCTACCATTAGGACAACACTACATGTGCTAATAAAAATACGAACAATGAAAACGAAAAGATTTCGTGAGTTTTGTTTTCAAGTCTTTCCCAGAAACTAAAACTATCTAGTTCTTATATCTTGTCAAAATGATAATGCAAAGCTTTGAAATTTCGAACTTGTATTATTTGATCTATAACAAAAATTATAGTTTGAGTTGCAAAGATATAGGGATTATAGGGATTAGAAAATTAGTGTTTTTGGCATTGACTCAATTTATTTTACCCTTTAGCAGCTCGACAAAATTGTATCTAAATTTGTATATTTCAACCAAAAGTGTTGCTAGGGTACGTTTTATACGTCTTACTTAACGTTTTCTGCAACTAAGCATATTTAAGGGAAGAATAAAATGGTTGAAATGTTTCGGATTACGTAAGTGGGAAAAATTAACCAAAGGGGAAGGAAAAGGAGTAAGAAGAAAAAGAAAAGAATGGAAAGAAAGAAAACAAAGGAGAGAAAGAAAAGGAAGGAAAGAAAGATAAGGAAGGAGAGAAAGAAAAGGAAGGAGAGAAAGGAAAGAAAGAAAAGGAAGGAAAGAAATATAAAGAAAGAAGAGAAAGAAAAGGAAAGAAGAAAGATAAGGAAGGAGAAAAAGAAAGAGATAAAGAAAAGGAAGGAAAGAAAGAAAAGGAAGGAAAGAAAGAAAAGTAAGGAGAGAAAGATAAGGAAGGAAAGAAAGAAAAGGAAGGAGAGAAAGATAAGGAAGGAAAAAAAGATAAGGAAGGAGAGAAAGAAAAGGAAGGAGAGAAAGAAAATCTGGGGAAAGGTGGAAGAAAATTAATTAGAAAGAATTTTAAAATGTCAAAGATTTGTAGAAAAATTCCAAATTGTAAAAAAAAGTTTACTCCAATATTCATAAAAATATCTAAATTAAAATATCTATTACTTAAAATAAATATACACTAATACCAAATTATCGTGCACGTGTTAGCATTGATATATTAATATAGTAATCTATCATTTCTATTTACATAATCAATAGGTCGTTTATCATCTATTGTTTTTTTTTTACATATACTCATAATTATACAAAAATAAGCTTTTATTTCTGACAATATTTTTCCCAGGCTAAAGTGTCATATGGCCGTGGTCCATACACATGTGATATGTAGAGATAGTCATCGTTTTCGTTAATCAACGAAATTTTTCGTGAACCATGGCGTCGTTCATAAAGATTAACGAATGAATTAGACTGCTCAGAGAATTAAAAACACGACAACTTTTTTAAAATGAACGAAAACACAAAAACGAACGATTATCATTGAAGATCGTTTTCCTTTTGTTAATCAGTCAAACCGTTTACGAACGAATTCCCAGTTGGGATCGTTCACAAACTTAATTGCTTGCGATCTATTTAAAAATTGTATGTGAACACTTTTTTTTGGAAACACAGCCAATAATCTAACCTAACCTTTTACTGAACGTACAATGTTGGTGAACGAATGTAATCTTCTTCTATCTATATAATAAAACAAGACATTCATATATATGTCCGGCTAAACGGCTGGACCGAATGGGCTGAATTTTTTTTGTGGACACTCATGGGTGGCCGGGGGTGTTATAGGCTAAAATTTGTTTTCCAGTTTGTTTTTTCAACGGGCAACGCCGGGCCCTTTTGCTAGTGTTAAATAACGAACGAAAAAAAAACTGGAAGCAACCATTTCTACTTACATATTAATTCAAAGGAACTGTTCACCTAATTAAAATACTTAATTGATAATTAACCACTAGCTAGGGAACCCAGCGCTGCCCATGTTATTCATATAGTTTCTCCACCCGTTTATCCGCATCTGAACGATTTTACAGCGAACAAAATTGTTGCTATTTAAGTCGACCCAATCTCATAATTAGGCTAAGAACATTCTCGTGGGTCTCCCGAGCTCCAAAATTTGAGGGAAATCGGCTCAGGGATTCCTGAGTAATGATCGGACAAACAGAGATTACTACTTTATATATATAGATACATACATGTTTTGGTATGTATTTCTGTTTGTTAAAATTCACAAAATGCCAAACCTACTGTACCGATCAGGACCAGATTTTTTGTGACATCTAACAAAACTTCAGGTTTGGTTTATGGCCGGTCAAAATTGAACAAAAAATTGTCTGGAAAAAATGTCAATTTTCAAAATGTATGGAAAGCCATCAATGTGCACAGAAAAATCTGAAAAGTTTGAAAAGAGAGTACCCTAAAAACATACATAAAAGTAAATTTAACAATCTATACAATTTATTTTTTTACAAGATTAAGAAAACAATAATAAATTATAACATTTGTTTATGTATTATATATAATTATAATCAGTTCTGGATGTAAATAATCAAAGTGGAAAAATATGTACTTGAACATAAACCATAAATGCTTTCTTCCAGTTAGTGTGTTTTTTACCGCATACATATACATATAAATAAACACATATTTTAACAGTGCAATGCGCAATGTACACGCGTACACATTAAACACATAGCATTGATCAGACAATGACAAAAATATGATTTTAGAGAAAATATGATCCAAGAAAACGATATTATTGATATTCAAAAGATCAAACAAAAACTTCTTGAATATCGAACAGAACACAATAATTTAAAAACATTAAAAGTAAATTATTACGATAGCAGTATACAAATTTATGGCAGGGTTATAATAATGTAACTATTTTCATATTCTGGAAATATGATCATTGGATGAATTTCAAATCAAGGTTAAAATCCCCTTTTATTATTATTTTTTTTAATTCGGACACAAACAAATACAGTACATAATACAGTACACAATACAGTACACAATACAGTACACAATACAGTACACAATACAGTACACTATACAGTACACAATACAGTACACAATACAGAACACAATACAGTACACAATACAGTAAACTATACAGTACACAATACAGTACACAATACAGTACACAATACAGTACAAAATACAGTACACATTACTGTACACAATACAGTACACAATATAACACAATACAGTACACAATACGGTACACAATACAGTACACAATACAGTACACAATACAGTACACAATACAGTACACAATACAGTACACAATGCAGTACACAATACAGTACACAATACAGTACACAATTACACAATACAGTACAAAAAGTGAGCAGAATATAAAAAATACAGTTTAGTAAAATGCAAGATAGGTTTACACACAATTAAGGGATTACTACGAAAGAGAAGGGGATAAAAGATGTATAATACATAATACTCCCTCTAACTAAGAAAACAACAATAACAACTTGGATCACATATTTTTTGTATTTTTCAAACAATGATTTTCATAAAGATTGCGAATTTTTTATTTGTTTTTAATTTTGCAGCGTAATTCAATTATTATTTTAGAATTTTCTCCATGTTATATTAACCAAAGAAATTGATTACACGACTCTAATCTATTTTTCTGATCCCATTATTTGTGCAACCTGAGCTGGGAACTTTAGAATGGTGGATATCAGGATTAATGCTTAATCCTCTCTTTTTGCTAATCTCAAGATTATGTTTGTCTCGAGACTAAATATTTAGATCAACAAGTTTGATTCTAATAACGCCAGATTTGCTCGTGTTCATGACTGGAAGGGCATTCACTTAAATTTCTCACCCATTTCTTCATTAATACATTATATTAGTTAAATTGGTTAAAAAAGAATCTTAAAGGTATTATTAAATATTTTTCTTCACCGATATTTACAAAATGGCCGCCAACAAATTCTTAAATTGTTAGCAATTGTGGATTTCTCTGATGGAATAAAATTAAAATTACCATAGTGGATATTCGGATTAAATAGTTGGGATTAAAAGTTATCCATTCTAAAGTTTCCAGCTCTGATTGTGTAAACGTTTGACTATTTAATCTTGCAGTATTCAAAGGTTTACACCATTAGGTTGGAAATATATTAAAATCAGAAAGTTAGATTTAAAATTCCTAATAAAATAATGTCTTAAAAGAATACAATGACGGTTCGGTTTTTGATTACAATTGTAGGATTTCGTGAAACCCTATTTTATAAAATTGGAATACAGAATTTCTGAGAATTTTGTAATGAAATAACAAAATTTGATTATGTATGGTTTTCATTGTTTTATAAAAAAAGCATCACTCATAAAAATTAATTAAAGTTTTTGAAACTTTTTGATTTAGCACTTTTGCATGGTTGCAATGAAGAAAAAAGTTATTCGAAAAAAAATAGTTTTTTTAATGATTTTTAGGGGGCTTCTTTCCGTGAAAGTTATTTGAGAGCATTGTGAGGTATCTCATTATTCTTATTATTCCTCCTGATCATTTGAGATACGAAACCTTTCAAATAAATTAAATTCTTGGGATAAAATAAAATTTTTAATTTATACTTTACTTTCTTTATTTTACATTTTTTCAAACTTTTCTCATGCTTATAATAGTAACTATCTGATAGTAGTATAATAGTAACTATCTGATAGTAGTATAATAGTAACTATCTGATAGTAGTATAATAGTAACTATCTGATAGTAGTATAATAGTAACTATCTTATAGTAGTAGTATAATAGTTACTATCTTATAGTAGTATAATAGTAACTATCTTATAGTAGTATAATAGTTACTATCTGATAGTAGTATAATAGTAACTATCTTATAGTAGTATAATAGTTACTATCTGATAGTAGTATAATAGTTACTATCTGATAGTAGTATAATAATAACTATCTGATAGTAGTTTAATAGTTACTATCTGATAGTAGTTTAATAGTAACTATCTGATATAATAGTAACCTTGCAAATTAAAAAAAAAAACCGGTCGGTTAAATATTAAGGGACCTTTCATTTATAGAGAGACATGTTTGATTCACAATGGTACCCATTCAGACCTTTATCAGATAATATGGAAGAGATTTTTGTTTTCTCGAGCTTGGCAAGTGTTCTGACAGTATCCTTTATTGTGCCTGTAGCAGAAAATAATACATTTTAAGAGAGATTAAGCTGGATACCTCGTCTATTCTTGATTTGACAAAGCTTTAAAGTGCTCCAGTGTGAACCATACATGCTACTCTATAAATAAAGAGTAACTTAAAATTACGGCTACAGTTCCTTTAGATTTTTATAGTCTACAGTTCCTTTAGATTTATATAGCCTACAGTCCCTTTAGATTTATATAGCCTACAGTCCCTTTAGATTTATATAGTACATGTGTATTTAGGAGAACCCCTGATGAATTGTAACCAGTCCAGCATAAGAGAACCACGAGTCCGTCGAGCCAAGGAAGAATTTTTCCTAAAAAAAAGAATTTTTTTAAAAATATGTTTAATTTTTCTTATCATGAGATATTTTTAAAAAATTTATGGAATTTTCCTATAGATTCTTGTTTGTTTTTAAGAAAAATCTTGAAATATTTTTTTTAATCTAAAAAACTCTAAAGTTAAATTAATCTAAGTCATTTTTTACTTTCACGTAATTAATCGGTGAAAAATCTTGTAAAAAAAAATTGTCGTAAAAACTTTTTTATGATCTTTAAAAGAATTTTATCTTGTAAACTACCTCGTTGCTAGGAAGGGGGCTGTAGAGGAGGGACACAAAAACGGAACTTCCTTCAATCAATCCCATAAATTAGAAATTTGAAAAAAAAAACAATAATATTTAACCTTTTTTTAAGAATATATACGTGGCTCAATTAAAAATCACGAAAGAAAGTTGAATCCATGAAAAATATTAATACATTCTTTGATAGGAATTAAATCCTTTCCACAAACTCTGATTTTCTAATCCCTATATCCCAACGTGGTATACCTGAGATATTTCAAACTATGAATTCCATACAGATAAACTCTGATGAATTCTGTTAGATCAAATAGTCTAAGTTTGAAAAATCAAAAGCTTCGCACCATCAGGTTGCCAAGATATAATTATTAGAAAATTTCAGAGTCTGTAACAAAGACTCAATTCCTTTGCCAAGAAACAGTTCGGTAATTTTGATATTATTCCGAATAAAATATTAGGCTTCTAATAGTGCAGAATTCTGAATCAGCTGCAACGTGTTACTAATTTTAAATATTATGGAATTACGTATATTTTCCAAAAATGAAGCAATTCCTTTATTCTAATAATGGTTTCCCTGTTTGCTCCAATCTGTTGCCTTCTGACCGACAGGCTGAAGAAGGTTGTTCCAAAGAGATCGGCTGACTAAATAATAAAGTATTTAAAAAAAATTGTTGCCCTAAATCGACGAGTTTTTAATATTTTTCAATTCTCTAAATTGATTTGTTTTCTTAATTTCCACCACCAGGTTCCAATGATACCAATATTAAAGTTTTATCAAAATGTTCATATTTACTTCAACTAGGGATTTTTTCACATGTTTTATCATTCATAAAAATTAAGAACAGGAAGCATAAATAATTAATAGTAGATTGAGTTGAACCATATACACTAAGTTGAACCTTAGACACTAAGTTGAATCGTAAAGACTGAGTGGAACCTAAAAACATAAAAAAGTATTTATAAACTAGTAAGATTAAATCAAAGGCAAAGGCATTGTGACACTTTAAAACCGACCCAGTCAATTGTCACTTGTCTTATAACGTGCCTGGTATCAGTTCGGATTAATGTTAACAGTCTTACTATTCATTATATTTGACGTCAGAAGACTTCCAGATAATTCTGCGTAAATCTCTTAGAAACGATATCTTGTATTAGACTATTAAATGTATTCATTAACTTAAAGTAATGCCTATATATTCCCTTTAATATCAGGTTTGTGTGAAACATTATGGGTTGGTTAATTACGTAATTAAACGGTAGATTGAAGTGTGTACAGCTCAGTCAAGAACAAATTAATAACTTCTTATGAAGACATTAATTAACATTTATGTGCTCAATAAACCAACATTAGAAAGTTATTAAACAACTTCAGTCAAACTTTTTATTAGAAACATTAAATTGTAAGAAGAAGTTTTTATTAGAAATGTTAAAATATAATAAAAATGAAATTCAAATATTAAGTTACAATATGAATTTACTTAAAAGGGACTGCTCATGATATTTTAGTGTGACACTTCATTTCAAAAGCGGCATGTCCGCTTCACACCGGTACCCTTTTAACCTTTAAAAGATAATGTGCGATGAACGATGGAGAGATCCATATTTTTCAAGCTGGAAATTGATTATTTTCGACTGTGATTTTTCTGTTACTCGCGACTTTATGCTGCAAAGACAATGAAGGAAGTTATGAGAATCTAACACTTTTCAAAATATAAAAACGATATGTCTTCCCAATTATTAATCAGTTATCGTTTTAAAGGGTACCACCGTAAATTTTGCAGCAACTATACAGGTGTAAGGGCACAAGAAATTACGTTTACGCTCCCTTTAATCCCATGGTAAAAATGCTAACCTAGAGCGTGAAGTTTTTGACTAAAATGAAAGCAGTCTGGAGCCAAATAGGAGAGATCAGGGACCTTTCGTTTAAAAACCCTAAAAATATTAATTCCTTATCATTTTAACTAATTTCTATTTTGCCATAGTTTCGCAGTTCCAATCAAAATATTTTTTCAGAAATCTTAATTTTCTCCATGTTTTTCATACAGTCATAATCAGAAAGACCCGGAATTAATTGACAGTTAATCAGGCGACTTAACAAATATATCTCTGCCAATTTTAAATGCTTAAAAAAGGCAGACCACATTTTGGAAATGGCAGGAGGGCTATTTATAGTGATTATCGTTTCATCAATAATATCGGTAAATTGAATTGTAAAATCGTCTGATTAATTGTTTACTGATTAGGAATGTTTTTAGATTTTTTACATTTTTATTAGCGCATTTTTAAATCCTGTCAGGAAAAAATGCACCATTTGTGGGAGAAAAATTATGTCGTAAATAATAGTTTAAATACATCGCAATTTTGTTAATCATGCCATTTATATATTGCCCCACTAATGACCAAGGTAAATTATTATTCAAGGCGTAATTAACCATTTTTATGCTAATGAAAAAATATTTGGATGTAACAAACAATATAACAAATAGAAAAATGTAAAGAGAAAAAATATTTAAGTTTACAAGTAATCAAAGAGAAGCTTTTTTAATAAATTATCTTGACTTCTATGTTTATGTGTATCCATGCTGTTTAACAGCTTGTTATAATTCAAAATTTAAATGGAAAGTCGTCTTTATTGTATTGATATAATCGCCTACCAAAGTATTACAGAGATTTTAATATCTCATATTGATTTTCACGGCGTTTATTAATAAAAAATAGATTAAAATCGGACAAAATGAAACAAAATCCGATTTTAAGGAGAACGGTCACAATTTTTAAACAAGGGTGAAGAAAAAAGTTTGTACCTGTCATACTTTTTTGGGATGATTCCGTTGACAAGCGATGGTTGAATTACCACAGTAAAATCATCCCTGAAAACGTGTTTTTAAAGAATCTTTTTACAAATTTTACAATTTTTACAATTTTTACCTGTTGTCGTACATTCCCATGTTTATAAGGTGTTCAATTTTGTTCATATAATGTCTTAACTGAGTTTTCATTTGCCACTTACTCATCCTAAAAAGATTGATTAGTTGATTGATTAGTTGATTGATTAGTTGATTGATTAGTTGATAGATTAGTTCGGAAAATTTTAATTTTTTTATCTTTTCGTTTGACACTTGCTCATACTAGATTAATAGATTAGTTCTGAATTTTTTTTTAACAATTTATTTTTAAATTAAATATTTTTTAAACAAAATTTAAAAAGAGCAGTGAATTTTTTTTTCTTCCACCATTGTATCTTCTTTTTTATCTGATCTTACATCTATTTTCTGTTCTTCTTTTTTAGATCTACGCATTCTAGTCTCTTGTAGACAAGGGAAAAAGGCATTTTGACTCATACTATTTTCTGATTCATACTATTCTTTAATTTGATATCTTGGTTGTATTTTCAGTTTTAAGTAATGTCTGACACAATAACTGTTGAAGGTTAGCTTTAAACACAATTTCCTCAATATTCTTACAGGTTGGAAAAATAAGAGTCATACTGCACTTAGCGGGGTTTGAAAATTCTGAGGATATCTATGGACAGAATTCCGTCTTAAAAAGGACAAATGGTGTAAGTTCATATCGGACACAGTGCTTCAGAATACGCCTCGTCTACATCAATCTTTTCTTCACACCCGGCAGAGTATAAGCCGGTATCATAGTGAATGGTGCATAACCTATCAGGATTCTATTTTCTATGTTTCCATTTTCCTTGTTTCTGGCAAGAGGGAAGGGGAAGAGAGAGAAAGAGAAACCCCTCATTCTCTGCACTATTATTTTCTTCTTTTTTCAAGTAGGGTGTACTGCCATGTTATTAAACACAGGGGTCTGTTCAGCCACGAGAAACTGGAGAGGGTTGTATTAGAACCTAACTGTTCTGAGCTTACAGATAGAACCAGATTCAATCGAAAGATTTAACGTCTTTCAGACGAGTTTGGATACTGGCCTGGCTAACCAGGCCTGTTATTAAGAAGTATATTCAAAGCTGCCAGTAGTAAAATCTGGATCCAGCTGGGTAAAAAACCTCCATTAATGCAGCGTTAAAGGGAGTGACCGGCTATGTAAGGTAGTTGAACTGAGTATGCAGTGTTGTGGAAAACTTCTTTCGGATTCATTTGAGACATATTAACCTATTTAAAGATATGTAAATCCTGAGTTTGAGCGCAAATTCGACTCCTACTTTGGGGGTGGATACGTTTTCAGAATTAATTATTTTTAAACATTTTTACAAAAAAAATGCGACTAAAAGATCAAACAGATATGTCTTGATTTTTTGGGTACTATTTCTGTTATATTCAAGATGAAATATTTTAGTGAAAATATCATATTACCTCGTAGAGAAAATAATTTGTTTCTTTATAGAGAAAATATCTGTTACCTTTAAGCGATAACGTTCTATTACCGCAAATCTGATAACTTTTAAGAGGAAAGTTTCCTGTTACCTTTCATAAACAATATTCTTTAATCCTTTAAGAGAAAATATTTTGTTCCTCTTTAGAGAAAATATCTGTTACCAAAAAACTAATAATTTTTAGAGCAAATTTTCTTGTTCTTTCAGGAGAAATTATTCTGCGACCTTTCACAGAAAATATTTTGTTCCTCTTTAGAGAAAATATCTGAAATATTTAGAGAAAATATATGTTATCTGTTAGCAGTAACATTCTGATACCAAAAATCTATTAACTTTTAGATGAAACATTTTGTTACATTTCATAGACAGTATTAGGTTACGTGTTACCTTTTATAGACAAAATTCTGATATCAAAAGTATGATACCTTTTTGAGGAAATATTCTGTTACCTTTTATAGACAAAATTCTGTTACCAAAAAAAATCTGTTACCTTTTAGAGAAAATATCATCAAAAAGACAAGGACAGAAATACCAGTGAAGGAGATAACAATATCCAGGTTTATTCACTAGATCCAGGGTTAGTGTTACATCTAAACAACATTCATCTTTAATATTGAAAGCACTGTAACCGTAATTTCAAATGACCCACAATGCAAAGATGGCAATGCCCGATTCACTACCGTACNGGGGGGGGGGGGGGGGGGGGTATCAAAAATTGCAACCGCAATGTATTTTGGTATTTTACGCAATAACCCTGAAACGGCAGTAGGCCGGAGGGGACAAATACGGTGCCCCCTTTCCATTCTAATCCATAAAGGAAACTAATTTTTACTGAATAAAGTGGGCCTTAGGCAAAATTTTGTTGAATCCATTCTAAAATCGTCCTATATACAGTGAAACCCTTAATAAAAATACATTCATATAATAATATATATAATAAAATAATTCATCAAATGTCGTATTCTTTACTTTCTGATAATGGAATGTTACAGATATTTAGTTTTTTAATTAAATGATTAAATGGAACTCTTTAAAACTGTTCCCGCATATTCATGGCTATTTATTTATTTTCGCAAATACTGCAATTTACTTAATATAGTATAAAACTCATTGAAAATTTGTCAAGACGACATTTGATAAATTCTTCCGATATATTCATTATTAAGGGTTTCACTGTATTTCCAGGGGGTGTCCCCAAATGTTCCCTAGTTTCACCCCAAAAATCCCCCTTTTAAGCTGTCTCATGCTATAGATCTAACATTGCAGGATGAGGAGAGGGGGTGGCCGGTGGCTTCATCTTCATTCCATTCCCTTGTATAATTGCCATAGGATCTAGGTTTACAAAGGTTCTACCTGCCATAAAAACTGGGTTTACAAAGGTTCTACTTTCCATAGAACTCTAGGTTTATAAAGGTTCTACCTGTCATAAGAACTAGGTTTACAAAGGTTCTACCTCAATACCTAACAATACTTCAATATTTCAGTGCAGAAATCACTACTTATGGTCAATAGAAAATGTTTGGAGTATTCTTAAGGGAAAGGTTGCTGAAAAATAATGCTCTAAAGACCAACAGCTGAAGAAAAACATCATTGCAGCATGGAGAGAGATTGACGATGATAAGGCTCTATGTAGACATTTCATGGCATCTCTGCCACACCGACTACAAGCTGTTATAGACAAAGAAGGCCGTCAAATCCAGAATGAAGACTACTAAAAGTTTCCAAATACTCAAATATATATGTAACCACTAAAATATATCCAATAAAACTGTTTGAATCATAATGCATTAAACAATTAGAGAAGAATTTGTATTATGTGTGGTTTTTTTAGGTTCACCCTTTAGGTTTACAAAGGATCTATCTGCCATAGGAACTAGGTTTAAAAAGGTTCTACCTGCCAAAGGAACTAGGTTTATAAAGGTTCTACCTGTCATATGAACTAGGTTTACAAAGGTTCTACCGGCCATAGGGACTAAGTTTACAAAGGTTCTACCTGCCATAGGGACTAAGTTTACAAAGATTCTACCTGCCATAGAGACTAAGTTTACAAAGGTTCTACCTGCCATAGGGACTAAGTTTACAAAGGTTCTACCTGCCATAGGGACTAAGTTTACAAAGGTTCTACCTGCCATAGGGACTAAGTTTACAAAGGTTCTAGGAAGATGCCTGTACAGATAATCTAGAGCACGTCTGAAAAAAAGTTTTAAAACTATTGCGAATTATCAACATTATTTCTAGAGTTTTCTATAAATTGATTTTCAGATTTATGCAAGAAAGACAAGAAAGCAAATCGATGGAATTTTTCTTTTTTTTTAAGATAAAAAGAAACGATGATACCTTTCTTTAATATACTCAGATGAAAGTTTTCAGGGCAGCCATGCAATTCTTTAACAGTTTGGTAATTTAAAATTCCGTCTACAATCCCAGAAGAAAAAACTCAAATTTTGAATATTATTAATCTTTTACATTCACGATATAGGTGTTCTGAATAAAAAGCAATAAAGAAATTAAAAGAAACCGCTTATTGTTCACTTTCATTGTAAATAAAAAAATTAATTTAGGGATAAATGTTGATTACATTTTTAAAAATAGATTAAATTGAAGAAAAAAATGAATGAAAGAGTATTGAAGTAAGTGAAATTTTGGATTGTCAAAACTAAATTTGCAAGAATACAATAAAGAGGGATTAGGAATTATTGTGATATGTGTTCGGTTTCTTCTATTTCAATTCAATCGATTTTTTAACCTTTAAACTTACGCAATGTACATTCTTTACTAATAAAACGTATATGCTGACACAAAAAGGAAATGAAGAAATTGTGGTCGAAAGTTACAGCTTGCTGGGATAAGGACCGAACCGTTAAATCAGCGTGAAATCTTCCCGCTTAAAATGCAAAACGTAAATATGAAATAACGTTTTGTAAAAAAACTTAAGACTAGCTAAGGAACCCAACTTTGTCTATAAAAGACGACCTTCTCTTAACTTAAAACTTTTAAGCAAAGCTAAAAACATTCCCGTGGTTCTACCAAGTTCCCCAATCAAATATTGAGGCAAATCAGTCAGGGGGTTCATAAGTTATGTTCAGACATACAAGCCAAGATAGAAACAAACTTTATAACTATATATAACAAGTAACGTTTTAAATTAATAGTTATTTGTTATTTATGTTTTTTATATATTTTTTTATATATGTTTAAATGTGAAATTTTCCCTTTGTTTCTCATGAATAAGTTAATACTTGAAATTGAACTCGAAAATATCCACAAGCATGAATAAACGTTGTTTATATTAAATTCATATTTAAATATAATATAAATATTTATTGCTTTTTTCCCCAGGGACCTATTTTCATTTATTAACCGTGTTCCTGCTAAGGCCGGTGTGACGTAGAATAAAACCCTGGGGGTGTGATTTTTATATTTATCGGGGATAAGAATGATTTCGTTCAGAATTAAACAATTTCATGATTTTATCTAAAAATTCATATTTAAAACATTTTCAATATTTCTGGTAATTTTGAAGTAAAAATGGCAGACCACACATTGAAAATGATGGACTAGAGCAAATGTATGATCATTTTTTCATAAAAAAATATGCAAGATGAATGGCGCAAATCATTTTTAAGTCCCCCCCCCCCCCCCCCCCCGGCCTGTATCATGGAAGATCGAATTTCCTAGTATATAATTGGGCAGAGCGAACAGAGATTTATACAGAAATATTGGATGGAAAAAACACTTGATTTGTAATTTCATTATTGTTTATTTAAATCACTTTTTAGCTTTTCGTGAGAATTTCCTTTAAAGTTACCTTATATTATAACCATACCCCTCTACACTAGCATCCTCGAATTCATCTACTCCTGTAAACATTGTAAATCATTTTCAAAAATTAGAAAATTTAACGGGTTTGTCCGTAAACTCAGATTTTCTAATCCCTATATTTATGCAACCCATTGTAGTAGACTTTTGATTTTTTTAAACTATGAATTTTGAATATAAAAAGTGTTTATCAACAGGCTGCAAAGATATATAGAAAATTTGAGTTTGAGGTGAGTTTCTTTAAAAGATTGACAACTTCTGTAGACTAATTTATTTCCTTTTCGATGTCTCATGATGGTCATACTCTGTAGTGATAACTTTTATTTATAATTCAATTTAAAAGTGTCCACATTTGATATCAGGATCACGATTCAAGATTAACATAATAAGACGATTCTATTTCAGAACGGACAAAATTTTGCATGGCGTGAATTAGAATTTATGTTTGATTATTAGTGAACAACTGCAGAATTATTTTTTCAAAGTTTTATTAATACAAATTTAGGACCACAATTACAGGTTCTAAATTTAGATAATTTTCTGGACTGTTAAAAAAAAAAATTTTATCGTATATCGAATAACAAAACCATTTCGAACATTTTGAAAGAATATTAAAGAAATCTAACACCCTTTTGCCTGGGTATAACTTAGAATTATCAGAAATTTTGTTATCTTTATCTTTATAAACATGTAAAAATATCTGTTTGTCTGTCCGTCTAATTGTTTGGAAGTTCTATCATAACTTTGAACATCTTGACCGATTTGCCTCAAATTTTTATTGGAAACTCGGTAGAGCAACGGGAATTTTCTTTGCTTGGTTTACCAATTCTAAATTGAGTACGTGTTGACTTTTATTGGAAAAATTCCAGACAAAGCCGGGTTCCCAAGCATAGTATATATATATATTATAAGTATTGTCAATCTCTGTTTGTTTGTTTGATTGGATATACGAGCATAACTCATGAGCCCCGATTTTCACCAAATTTTAATATTTTTATCCGGTTCCAAGCACTTGGTTTAAACTAGTTGAGTGCCTGTTGCCTTATTTATAGAAAGGTTAATTACCGAGCAAAGCTGTGTTTCAAAGCTAGTAAATACAGGAAAGCTATTTATTTTTACAGTATATATTTCTTTTTACAGTGCATAATTGCATATTTTTGTGCATATTTGTTGCAAAAACTTGGATTTATAAATGCTGAATGAACGCTAAATTTAGCAACAATTTAACATTTTAACAATTTAAAATTTAAATTTGTGAAAATGTTTATAAAGATATTTACAAGTTTAAGTAGACAATTTAACAAGTTTTTTTTCGATTCATACATCAATGAATATTTTCATTTGTGCAGTTTAAACCAGAAATTCGAAGACATCGAAATAATTTACAAAATGTCGTCTTGATAATGTTTAAATGTTTTTTTTTACCATTATACTTAAAACTCAGTTTTTGTAAAGAAAAAAAAACATCCATTAAATATATAGAAACAATTTTAAAGAAATCCATCTAATCATTCAATTAAAACTAAATATCTGCTGCATTCGATCCATTATCAGAAGGTTTAGAAACGACATTTTATAAATTCTTTCGACATCTCCGAAGTTCCGGGTTAAAATATATTATATCTCAAATACTTTGTTTCAAAAATTAATAACGTTTTCATCCTTAAAATTGGAAATATATTTTCCACAAAAGCAATAATAAAACCACGTCTTTAGATTTCTGATTATTGTTTATTTTTAATTTTTAGAGAAATCAATATTTTTCTTTTCAACTACAGCAATAAGATGAAATCTCAGAAAAGTAAAAGAATGGAGAAATAGTTATTAATTGTTTTAAATGATTCATCATGGTTATAACTTTATATATAAGATAAGCGTTCTCCATGTTTTGTTAAAGGGACTGTTTGCATAATTTCATTGATAACGTGGCCTGTCTGATTCACAAACTTAAAAGCTCTGTCTGATCAATTATAAATTAATACATCCATGTTTCTGTTTCGTTCTTGAAAACAGTATTTTCCTTTGCAGTTTTATCTAGAAATTATAATTGGGCATGCTTAATGGCAGTTAACAGGTCACTTACAGTTACTCCTACAGTCCCTTTAGGACCAATAATGTGTCTTTACGATGTTTAATTACTGAATGAGAGCTAAAAGTTCAAATTATTTATTGGTTGTGCAACCTTCATGACTCACTACTTTTTCTGTCTAGTTTTCAGTGATGTGGCACCACTTCTTTTTCTGTCTAGTTTTCAGTGATGTGGCATCACTTCTTTTTCTGTCTAGTTTTTAGTGATATGGCGCCACTTCTTTTTCTGTCTAGTTTTCAGTGATATCGCACCACTTCCTTTTCTGTCTAGTTTTCAGTGATGTGGCACCACTACTTTTTCTGTCTAGTTTTCAGTGATGTGGCACCACTTCTTTTTCTGCTTGGTTGGCAGTGATGTGGCACCACTAATTTTTTTGTCTAGTTTTCAGTGATGTGGCACCACTTCTTTTTCTGTCTAGTTTTCAGTGATGTGGAACCACTCTTTTTCTGTCTAGCTGGCAGTGATGTGGCACCACTTCTTTTTCTGTCTAGTTTTCAGTAATGTGGTACCACTTCTTTTTCGGTCTAGTTTTCAGTGATGTGGCACCACTTCTTTTTCTGTCTAGTTTTCAGTGATGTGGCACCACTTCTTTTTTCTGTCTAGTTTTCAGTAATGTGGTACCACTTCTTTTTCTGTCTAGTTTTCAGTGATGTGACACCACTTCTTTTTCTGTCTAGTTTTCAGTGATGTGGCACCACTACTTTTTCTGTCTAGTTTTCAGTAATGTGGCACCACTTCTTTTTCTGTCTAGTTTTCAGTAATGTGGTACAACTTCTATTTCTGTCAAGTTTTCAGTGATGTGGCACTACTTCTTTTTCTGTTTAGCTTTCAGTGATACGGCACCACTTCTTTTTCTGTCTAGTTTTCAGTGATGTGGCACCGCTTCTTTTTTGTCTAGTTTTTAATGATGTGGCACCACTTCTTTTTTTGTCTAATTTTCAGTGATGTGGCACCACTACTTTTTCTGTCTACTTGGCAGTGATGTGGCACCACTACTTTTTCTGTCTAGTTTTCAGTGATGTGGCACCACTTCTTTTTCTGTCTATTTTTCAGTGATGTGGCACCACCTCTTTTTCTGTCTAGTTGGCAGTGATGTGGCACCACTTCCAGAGAATTGATTTCATTAAATTCTTCAAATTCCACGTACACTGCATCAGTTATAGATAGCTAGACGATATAAGAAGATATTGCAACTAGGGAGGGGGTGGGAGAGGCGTACACAGGGGGGGAGGGCTTCACTACTACTTATACCATGAAATATTTTCAATGAAGTGTCACTCTTGCATTATTTGTCTGAAATAAATACCAAATTGTTAGTTACCAAATAGTTATGTAACGAAATTGTTAGCTACCAAATTGTAGATCACCAAATTGTTAGGTTACCAAATTGTTTGTTTCCAAATTATTAGTTACCAAAATATTAATTACCAAATCGTTAAGTTACCAAATAATTAGTTACTTATTTGTTAGGTTAACAAATTGACTATTACCCAATTGTAAGGTTACTAAATTGTTTGTTTCCATATTACTAGTTACCAAATCGCTAAGTTACAAAATGGTTATTTTAACAAGTTAGGTTACAAAATTTTTGAGTCACCAAATATTTGTTAAGCAAATTGTTGGTTTACCGAATTGTTAGGTTACCAAAATATTGTCAGAATTACAAACCTTTAAAGTTACCAAATTGTTAGCTACAAAAGCCGCCCATCAACTAAGCATTGTAAAGGAATTGAGTCTTTGCCACAAACTCTGATTTTAAAATTCCTATATCTTTGCAACAAAATGTCATAGATATTTGATATTTCAAAATATGAATTCTGTTAGATCAAATTATCTAAGTTTAAAAATCAAAAAGTATTTACCATCATGTTTCTAAGATATAATGATTAGAAAATTTGAGTTTGTGACAAAAACTCAATTCCATAGTAGAAAAAAAATAATTATTTTTTGTCAAGGTTTGAATAAATATTTTTCATTTAAAAAAAGAACTGGTCGTTCGGACCAGAAGAAGTATTAAGAAAAACGTTATTTCATTTTATTTCTAATTATAAACAACAAAATACGTCTTTAAACAGTAAACAAATAAGAAAAAGTTATTAACTTTAAGATGTACGCATAGATATATGTGATCGATATGATCTCCTTCTTATTTTGAAAACATATAGATACGAAGTTTAAATGGACTGTAATGGACCCTCCATGCAAATATGACAGTTTGTCCGATTTTCAACAATACCCTTGAATCCTTAATGTAATTAGAAATGTGGAAGATAACGTTGTTTTTCTGACTTAAAAAGTGTTTAATTCCAAAAATTTCTCCATTGCTTCTTATCCAAGTAACACTCAAGTCACTTTCGCAGAGAAACCGCAAATGAAAATAAACACTTTAAAGAAACTTAAGCTTGGATATCTAATTCATACTTGATCCAAACAAAGCTTTCAAGGGTATCGTCGTAAATCGGGCATTGCCATCTTAGCATGGAGGGTCACTTGAAATTACGTTTACAGTCCCTTTAAACAGAGTGCATCAAGTGCATCAAGTGAGAAAAAAGTATTTGTTTTGATAACACGAATTTCAAATTAAAACTTTCTAAAAACTGAAGAAAGAGTATGTAGGCTCGGGAATTGTTATTAGAAAGTCTGTGATGAGAAAAAAACTATGTTTAAAAAAATCATGGCGATTTAATGAGTATATAACTGAAACCTTTCATTAATGGAGCCAACTGATCGAAAAACAAACATTTATTGCAACAAAAATAATATTAATTTATGCTATTTTATTTACAGTGATCAGGTTGAAAGCTTTCATGTAAAAATAGATTTTATCAATTATTTCTAAAAAGCTTAAGTTAAAAACACGAGCTTTATTAGATTTATATTTAGCTGGGGAACCAAGCTTTGTCAGGAAACTAAAATTTCCATATAAAAGTCCACCCACTCCACTTGGAATTTTTAAACCAAGCTAAGAAAATTCCCGTAGTGTGTCATTCAAGTTCGAGAACCATGTGATGTCATTCAAGTTTGGGAACATTGTGATGTCATTCAAGTTCGAGAACCATGTGATGTCATTCAAGTTCGGGAACATTGTGATGTCATTCAAGTTCGAGAACCATGTGATGTCATTCAAGTTCGGGAACCATGTGATGTCATTCAAGTTTCACTAGCTCAATTTTTAGCTACAGTGATAACCAGAAAACTGTAGAATATGAAGACGACATTAAAGCAGTAATAAATTGTATTTGATGTGGTTACAAATCAAATAGTTTTTCTAGTAACTTCTTAAATATTTTTTAAAGTCAATTGGACATTTTTAAACCGCACTACAGAGGTGTGTCATGTTCATTGCACTACTTAAAGTAAAAAGTTAAGGCTAAAAGTCGTCTCCATATTTCAGAGTTTTCTGGTTTCAGTAGAAAAATAAGGATATTTCCACAGGTCTCAAGGGTAACATTGTGAATGGTAAATGATTGTTTTACTTGCAAAAAACGTCTTCAGTCCCTTTAATTTAATTTTAAAAAGGTTCCAAAAAAATTTAACGTTTTTTCTTTTGTACAAACATTCCTATTAGAATAGTGATCATCTTCCAGTCTTTATGTACATTTATTCTTGGGTCTCTGTACATGTCATGTACCAACCTAAAACAGAAGCACATGTAATTTTAAATTTTAAAAAATTAGGGGGGCAAAAACGCCAGAGCCTTCAAAGATTACATTTGTTCTTAGAAGAAAGTCAAAAACATTTTTAAGGATTATTCGTGGATTTTCACCTTAATAGATTTTTGGAACCCTGTTAAATCAAAATTCCCTTATCTTCAATGTAAAATTATATCATATCATTAAAAATAATTTAATTTAATTTGTAAGATGTATTTCATTGGTTAACGTAAGATGAGGCTTATTTTAACTTACAAGTTAACTCCGGTATTGAATCTCATAAACATTTAATAGAATCTCATAAAATTTTGATAGAATCTCACAAAACTTTGACAGAACATAAAATTATAATACTCTTCTCAGAAAATTTATATTTTTTTAAACACATAAACTTAAATTTTTTGAATAAAGGATCAAAATGGAAAAAATAACTGCCAAATAAGCGACAAAAAATCACTTAAAATTAACAAAAATCGCTTATTCGGCAGAAAAAGTTGGATGACCGAATTAAAGGATTTTGTGTTCCCAAATAAGCGATTTTTTGATTGAATAGTTTAGAATGCAGTTGAGCGACCTCTACAATTTATTATATTTGGTCCCAGGCCACTAAACTATTCGTAATTATTTCTAATTAAACCATAATTATACCAAACAAAGATGATTATAAAAACATAAAGTAATTAAGAAAACATTCTACAATCTAAATCGAAAAATAGTTGTCGTACAAAAGTTATCCAGATCCAGAACATAGTTTTTAAACACAAAATGATCATAGATAACAAAGTTAAAACATAATTCTTTCAATAATGTCAAAAAGTTTATTAAAGTAAAAAATGAATGAATAAAAAATTATGAGGTTTATATTTGCTTTGTTTAGAAAAAGTGTGTCATCAGTTTTCTTTAATGTATGTTAAAAAAATGACGTAAACACTTTAAAAAATGAATAGTCAAGATTTTTAATGAAAGGAGAAAATATAATGTATGCAGGGTGGAAACCATTTAACTGTCGAATTCCTACTGTCGTGTTATTGCAAATGTCTCTAGGGACTAATTCAATTCTAATTTGCAACCGAATTATTTCTAAACTTGTGCACTGAACATCTTTTGAAATTTGTCTGTTGCAACGACCATGATTAGAAAATCTGAACCAACGATTCTTGAGTAAAAGTCTAAAAGATAGTTTGTATGGCCCCACAGTACAAAGATTTTTAATAATCTTATTAAAAAATAAGGACTTCAACCGTCTATAATTATTCCAGAATTCTTTTTAAAAAACCGCGCTGTGCTTTCTTAAAAATGGTCTGCGGTTTTCTGTCCATTACATTTTTAGCTAACTTCAAAATTATTATAAAATGTGTTTGATACATGCAGTGAAAATCTGAAAACTGTGAGAATGCTTGCCTTTAAAAAAACAGATTTACGGGAAAAAATCGTTTTATTTTACCTTTTTGCCTGACTTAACAATTCTTTACTTGTAGCTCCAGCTCTAGCATAGTTCAGTCCCGAGCTCATATTACTGATCAATCAAATAATGTATTTGGGGTGTTAATAATAATATAGTAAATCAATCGGGAAGTTGAAAATCATTAATTTTTCCAATCAATGGATTTAGTTATAGAAATAAAAACTGACTTTTAAAAACCATTAAACGTTAACACGGCTGAACCAATTGGGCCTGAACTTTTTGTGGAACCTCGGATGACCGACATGACCCCATAGAAGGCTTTTCGCTGGTTAGAATTTAATTTTTTTCAAATGTCAAAAATCAGAAAAATTGAAAAATAAAATTCTCAAAATTTTAATCTAATTCTATTGTTATGAAAATCTTAACCTGCTAGCTCCGTAGAGATATGGATTAAATATCTTGAGAATATTGGGAAGCGTAACAACATCTCTCCAGGTACCCGCCCCTCCAGAGCTAAAGGACACGCCCCTATACCTCTTCCCGATATCCAGCACCGACTCCGCCCCTGCTCCAACCCCAACCGTAATAGAGTCTCCCAAAGCTGCCACAACCTGAAAAAGCACATGATTTAAAACACCATCTTGTACTAGTTTATTTTATCCTTCTTTATGAGGAAGATTTCAAAAGATAAAACATCTCCATTAGCTCTTTACCTTCCTTCGCCTCTTTTTATATCTTTTTATATCCCCCCCCCTCCATCTCCTTTCCCTTTTCTTTACTCGTTCCTTCTCTATCAGTAGAAGTAAACTGTATAAAGACTATATATTCTCTAATGATTCTATAGTAGTTGTATTTTTGGCTTATTATAATTATTAAAATCATAATTATTTATATTCATACAAAATTTAAATCTATATTATGTTAATTATAAATTATAAAATTAATAAGTTTACAATGTTTACCTAAAGTTGAGTTGCAGGCATGTGTACAAGCATCGTTGTGTCCTGTACATGATTCCAGATTGTTATGTACAGTAAGATGTATCTCACTTATTAAAGTAACCCTTCACATATAGAGTGTCATGTTGATTCACAACGGTACCTTGACAACTTGTGTGAATCAATGATGTTTAATAGCAGAAAAAATCGAGTGCTTTCGAGAACCATGTGATGTCATTCAAGTTCGAGAACCATGTGATGTCATTCAAATTCGAGAACCATGTGATGCCATTCAAGTTCGAGAACCATGTGATGTCATTCAAGTTCGAGAACCATGTGATGTCATTCAATGTTTTCAGATCCGTTAATGATCCTTGTAACAACAATGTAGTATCATTGTCTCCAAATTTATCCTGGGAATATTCACTATTAACTAAGTATTTTCTGGTTTCAACCTTACTCCGGGTATTCTGGTATATAGGCAGTTTTCTTATCTAACCTGGTTCAATCCTAGATCTATCATGCTTTATACAGGGAGTTCACTAATCCAACCTGGTTCAATCCTACATATGTACTCCTGATATATTTGTAAACAGAAAGAATTCTTATCCAACCTTGTTTCAATCCTACTTCTGGTATACTTGTATATAGGGAATTTTCTTATTAAACCTAGTTTTAATCTTACATCGGGTATCTATATTTATAAAGTTGTAATCTGTGTTTGTCCGTCTGTCTGTATGTTTGTTCGTTTGTCCGATTATAACTCAGGAACCCCTGGGCGGATTTGCCTCAAATTTTGATTGGGGAACTCGGGAGAGCCACGGGAATGTTATTGGCTTAGTTTTGAGATTCTAAGTTGAGTGGGTCGACTTTTATCGGGAAAAATACCTAAAATCATAATTTACGACCAAGTGCGGGTAAACTATACAACCTTGATTCAACCTGGTTTCAATCCTACTCTTGGTATACTTGTATAGAGGGAGTTTAACCATCCTGGTTTCAATCCTAATTCTTGTATAATCCTGGGTTTAATCCTACTCCGAGGCAAATAGATTATCAAGTACAATAGGTGGCAACAGAGAAATGGACCAATTATACACGACGTCACAAGTGTCAAATATAGCAAGGAAAACGAAATTTTCTCACATTAGTTGACATGTTTTCCAAGATTAAATAAAAAGTGTAAAAACAGAAATTAAAGGACACATAAAATTGCACTTATTTTACTGTAAGAAAAGCACTTTATTCTAAAATTATCACTATTATTGATGATTTTGTCGGACACAAAAACTGAATTGACACTTGTGACGACAGAATACAACTGTACTGAGAGTGTACAAATTCTACGTTGCCATCTATTATACTAGAATCTATTTGCTCAGAGGTAAACTTTAATTCAGGGAATATACTTATCCTACCTGGAGTCAATCCTACTCCCACACTTGTTTTTAGGAAAAATTATGGTTTAAATTTTTCTTCCCTCCAGTTAAAAAAGGACAAGACGAATTCACAACGGTACCCTTTATACCTGTACCTTATCAATAATGCAGTCCTATGTGTAGCTCGAAAGGTGTTGAATTTTGATAGTTTCCTCCATTGTTTTATTCGCAAACTTATTTCGTGCCTTACATTGTGAACCGTACATCCCTCTCTACTTTACAGAAAAGTTGAAATTATGTTTTATGATGCTTTTTAATTGAAAACCCAAAAACTTAGCGTACATCATCACTCTATATACTATAACCTCGTTGGTTAAAATTAATGTACAAATACTGTACAGATAATCTTGAATTAGTAAAGGAGTAGCTTACATCATTACTCTATATACTATAACCTCGTTGGTTAAAATGAATGTACAAATACTGTACAGATAATCTTAAATTAGTAAAGGATTAGCGTACATAATCACTCTATGTACTATTACCTCGTTGGTTAAAATGAATGTACACATACTGTAAAGATAATCTTAAATTAGTAAAGGATTAGCGTACATCATCACTCTATATACTATTACCTCGTTGGTTAAAATGAATGTACAAACACTGTACAGATGATCTTAAAATAGTAAAGGATTAGCGTACATAATCACTCTATATACTATTACCTCGTTGGTTAAAATGAATGTACAAACACTGTACAGATGATCTTAAATTAGTAAAGGATTAGCGTACATAATCACTCTATATACTATAACCTCGTTGGTTAAAATGAATGTACAAACACAGTACAGATGATCTTAAATTAGTAAAGGATTAGCGTACATAACCTCGTTGGTTAAAATGGATGTAAAAATACTGTACAGATAATCTTAAATCATTCTATAAACTATAACCTCGTTGGTTAAAATGAATGTACAAACACAGTACAGATGATCTTAAATTAGTAAAGGATTAGCGCACATAATCACTCTATATACTATAACCTCGTTGGTTAAAATGAATGTATACAAACACTGTACAGATGATCTTACATAATCACTCTATATACTATAACCTCGTTGGTTAAAATGAATGTACAAACACAGTACAGATGATCTTAAATTAGTAAAGGATTAGCGTACATAACCTCGTTGGTTAAAATGGATGTAAAAATACTGTACAGATAATCTTAAATCATTCTATAAACTATAACCTCGTTGGTTAAAATGAATGTACAAACACTGTACAGATGATCTTAAATTGTGTTTCATTGTATTTACCTTCAAATTATATGAAGGAAGAAAGGAGTTGGACACAAATTACTAGTTCCAAATCTAGCAAACCAAAACCAAAACCATGAGGTAAATATTTACAATTCTTACTCTCCTTCACATTCCCCTTCTTTAATCCCCTCCCCCATTCATACATTCCACACCTATCTACCCCTTTCTTTCTTCTTTCCTTACATCTTTCTTCTCTTTAACCTCCCCCCCTTTAAACATAATCTTTTCGCCTACTTCTCTCTTTCCTTTCCCCTTCTTCACTTATAAGTCTGATATACCAGACTATATAAGATACCTGGATATCAGCTGGTCTAACTTTATGAACTGAGTCTGGTATACCAGACTATATAGGATACCTGGATATCAGCTGGTCTAAGTTTATGAACTGAGTCTGGTATGTGTTTCGAAGATTTTATATTTTTGCAAGGAAATTTCTGTTCAGGTTCAAGACGGCATTGTCCTCGCTCTTCATCCTTTACAAATATAGAAAATTAAAGGGATAGTTCACGAAATAATTCTTAAAGGACTGTAAGCTTAATTTCAAGTACCCCTTCATGCAAAGATGGCGATGTCCGATTAACAACGGAATCATTGAAACCTTAATTTGATCAAATATGTGGAAGATACCGGTGTTTTTTCTGTGAGTTTCTCCGTTGCTTCTTATAAACAAAGTTTAATAGACATTGCAACCTTTCGCAAATAACTTATAAATGAAAATAAAAAGTTTAAAGAAACAAAACCTTTGCAGGGAGGGTCACATGATACTTCGCTTACAGTCCCTTTAAATGCTTTTAACACTTTATTTAAGGAACGTTAACAGTAAAAGTTCAAAGGTTGCATAAAAAATAAACCGTCTTTGCAAAATCTCTCAGAAGAAGTATTTAATTAAGAAGAAGGTAAAATAGTATAAAGACAAAGGGTAAAAATAAAAAATAATACATTTGTGTGCAATCAGAGTGAAAATTATGAAATTTTAAAAAAATCTAAAAAATAGGAAAGAATATTATTATATGTTGTAATTTTAACAATAAAGGAGAGAATAAAAAATATATATTTTCAAAAACCTGGAATTTTGCAGGTATAATAGTGTTGAACTAATATTGTTTATTATTATATTAAACAGTGGAATAATCAAATCTCCTACGTTGCCTGCTAAATTATTCTAAAATATTGCAAGTAGTAACCTTCCTTCCTGGGCTTTAAAATATGCATTAAAGTTTAATGCATTTTTGGTATTTTACATATTTAGTCTAAGATGGCGGCAGGTAGATTGAGGTGGGGGGTAGTTAAGGTTGCGGGGTAAAAAGGAGAATCTGGGACGAATAATTGGAATTATGACATGGGGGGACTCAGGCAGCAAGGAGCAGGTTTGAGGTTGGAATAGTGGAATATCTAGAATTAAATATTGCATCTTTAATTTCATGTAGAATGTATATGTTCATTTTTAACTATACCTTGAGTAACTTTCTGATCACGATATCTGAAGATTCGACAAAATTAGACATAATCATCATCCCCTCCTTGGTTTCTGGTACGGTAGGAGGACTCTGGTCATCAGAACATGTTTTTTTTATACAGTGAAAACCAGAAAACTGTGGCATTTAGGCAATTAAAGCAATATTCAATTAAATTTGATGTTAAACAAAATATATAAGTTAAATATTAACTTTATTGATCAAGTGAAATGGGTCTATTGACATGTTAAACAATTGTTGTGGTTTATGTTCATGGACTATTTTAAGTCATAACTTGAGTCGTGTTATTAATATTATTCCAGAAATTAAAAGATATTATTCAAGGTTACTCGCAAGTCACAATGGGTGAGACTAGAGGCAAATGTTAGAAGATAAATAATTTTTTTTCTTAATTCCAGGGTAAAAGGAATATAAAAGCAACTTCAATAAAATAGCTTGTGTACTGCAGTTTCTGGGAGGAATGAAAACAATATCCTGAGCAGTACACTTTTTTTCCTTTGTTCACTGCAACTGTAATTTAGTTTATAACATGGTCAAAGAAATTGAGTTTTTGTCACAAACTTTGATTTTCTAACTCCTATATCTTAGCAACCCAATGTCATATAGACCTTAGATATTACCATACATGAATTCTGTTGAATTAAGTAATCTGAGTTTGAAATATCAAAGATTTACACTTTCAGGCTCCAAAGATATAGGAGTTAGAAAATTTGACTCAGTTCCTTAGTTATTTATCCATAAAAGGCTATATTTAAGCCAGGCGACCAATTCTAGGTCGTCATTCAAGCCTCACACTTTTTGGGTAACATAAAATACATAAAATACATAAAATACATAAAATACAAAAAATACATAAGATACATAAAATACATAAAATACATAAAATACATAAGATACATAAAATACATAAAATACATAAAATACATAAAATACATAAAATACATAAAATACATAAAATACATAAAATACATAAAATACATAAAATACATAAGATACATAAAATATATAAAATTCTATCCGAAAGCTGTTTCTTCCAAGTGTTGAATTTGTTTAGTTAAATTATTTTTAATGTTCATTTATTGGAAAAAGGGCATACAAATATTCATGTCTAGGATAGAAATTCTTTTTTTTTTGATAACGTTAAGCTGGGAAGACAAAATTCAAGACAATATATAATTTTCCAAAATAACACATTGAAAAATTAAATGACCAGAAGCCGTGGTTAAAAAAAAGAAATGTATTGTTTTAAATATATTCTGCCTCGTCGCTGTTGATTTCTGAAAAAAATAATCATAATCATATTTCACACTTTGGTAATATTGTAATGGTAATAATTCATACTTTGTAATAGTAATAATGAAAATAATGATAATAATAATAATAATAATAATAATAATACTTTAAAAAATAGTAATAATAACAATAATACCTTGTCTCTGCAGTACGTATTTGTACTCTGCTGTACTCAAACAAACCATCAGTATACAACCTTAACAGAAACATATCTATCTATCTATCTATCTATCTGTCAATCTATCTATCAATCTATCAATCTATCTATCAATCTATCAATCTATTTATCTTTATTTCTATCTATCTATCTTTTAAATTTTTTTCGATGAAATACATCCCACAATTCACAGAGACATAAACAATACTTATTTTTTTATTTTCGCCCCGAAAACATTTAAACCACAAATATCATTTTTCACCTTTCATTGTATATATATCTAATATCTATATGATAAATGCTCTTCGCTCATATATATGTCAGCTATGGCCGGTCGAACGGCTGGACCGAATGGGCTGAAGACCTAAATCTTTTGAGGTTTCAATTTCAATTTCTCTTACTTAAAAAAAAATAAACCAAAAAAAAAATTTCGTCGTCCTCTTTATTTTTTATTTAACTTTTATGTTAAATGTGCGCTTAATATCGATATCCGGCGTAAGCACTTTTAAATTTGAGGATTAAGTTATCCTTGCAGGATAATGAACTGCAGAATTGAAATAATCTGTAAGTCTGCATAAGATGGCCTGATATCCCGAGATTAAAAAAACAAAAGTTCTTTAACTTGTGAAAATCACTACTGAAATATCATTTAAAAATTATTTATAAATTCTTATTATTTCTTCAGTAAAGCAAAAAACAGTGTAAACAGTTTTCTGGGTCTCACTGTACGTAAATTAAATATAGTAATACTCCTAAAAGTATATAAATTGTTTTTTATATATTTTTCTTTACAAAATTTCAAATTTCAAATTTACAAAAATCTAATATTTTTATCTTAAATATACGAATTTTATCCCCCGTGGGAATATACATTAATATACTATTTGAACAAGATGAGAAAAATAAGCTTAAGTAGACATTTTTCTTTCATTTTAAAAATATCATTTTATAAATTAACTATCATGTTTTAACTTTGTAATTAGATCGATCTATATGGCATATATGCAGGTTTAAATACAAACCATAAACTTTTTATTGTAAGCCCGCCCCTTCCTTGTTGTTTTTTAGTGAAAGAAAATGTTACCTCCCCCCCCCCCTCCCATGGCCCTCTTCCCGACCCTGAAAATTAGGGCCAAACATTGAAATTAAAGAGTTTGCAGACTTTAAAAAAATACTGATTATATTGATATCGCTGACGCAAAACTAACGCCCGAGGGTAATGCGTTGATCATGACACACATATAGGCACATTACGCATGCATAGGAAGTTAGTAACGTGTATTCAAACATGTATGGATGTACGCATATTGTGTAAAGAGTACACTTTACTTTTTCCCGCATTTTTACATTCAAATTTACACATGAATGTATTTCTATAATATTGATTTAAAGTTTAGTGTATTTGGAGGTCAATAGAAAACTTTAGAGGATTTTAAGATATCTGATGTCACAGTGAACATTTTTGGGGGACGTGGTTTTATTTCTTCTTTTGTTTTATGATAGTGATTTAAAAATAATAATGGCAGGCCCCACTTTTTTCTGATCATTTATCATTAATCTTATCCATCTTTTTTTCTGATCACATATATATCTTATCTTATCTCTTTGCCCATCTATTTTCTAATCTGTATCTCTTAATAAATTGATGCCGTAAAACCAGTACCTATTAAATCTGCTAGACCTATATGTACAATGTTTGAAATATAAAAGGTTTACACCATCAAGTTGCAAAGATGATTAGAAAATTAAGTTTCGTCAGTAGTTTTGAAAATAGAATCCTACCAAGGTAGAAGAGCAAGGTATCCATGAGTCCTTGTATGCTTGACCATATCCGGAGAATGGTTCAGAACTGTCAGCTAGACCTAGTGCAAGATATTATTTTATATAGATATAGTAAAATTACAGTGGAGTACTATACATACTGTTCCCTGCACACCCCGGACTAACCAGAGTGAGAGGCGTTCGGTGTCTTCGATTTAAAGTCTTATGTGTTTTGATCTATAATTAAACAATCTTTAAACTTACGGATTTGTGTGTTTAATACTTGTCATTCGAAAAGTATATGTCGGCAAAAAATTATATCATAAAAAAGCAAAAAAAATTATGTTTAATAAGACAAATTGTGACTAAAAAGTCACACCTTTCTGGAATATTGACAGAACCGTTAAATCCACGTGTGCAAGAGAACAAAGAAATATTTATTATTAAATATTGCGTAAGATGTGTCCTTTTTCCTTTATAGGAGCTGAAAACTTTAGAATGGGATATCCTTAATCCCGGTAGCTTAATTTGAGTATCCAATGTTCACACTTTTGATTTTTTTCTTAATAAGGTTGGAAAAACACACAGGTCCGACACTTAGTCCTACACTCCTAATCCCTACAATAGGTAGGAGTAATCATGATCCCCAATCCGTCCTGGATTTCCTATCATGTTGGTGAAACAAAAGTCCTACTCAGCCCTGTTCGTAGCCATAGGTCGGGAAAAAAGTTCTATCCGTCCTAGATTCTTTATTTAGTTGGAAAAAAGTTCTACTCCGTCCTTTCTGGAAAAAACGTAGGTCGTTCTACGGTTCGATCCGGGCGTCTTGAAACCTGATCAGGAACGAGAATCAAAGCCCCTTTCCCTTTCTTTTTTCTGCAATAGGTCAGTTCTTCCGCTTTGACAGAACTGAAAGTTTTCGCATTTACTCTGTCCGACCTTCTAACTGTCGGACCACCGTACATCATGCTGCCATAGCAATTCAGAAAATGCACTTCCTGTCTACCAAGAAGAAGATTCAAGTTTCTCATTGTAAAGGGTTTAGCACAGGATAAATGGTTCCGCGCCATTCAGCAAAATGATGATAATATTTAGTAATTGATCTCCCATTGTTTAACTAACTATTATGTCCAGTGAGTTAGTTACAATATAAGAAAACACAAGTTTAAAAAATGTGATAAAACAGTTAACTTAAAAAACTCGTCAATCCAAAAAAAACTAAGAATTTGAAAATGCAGTTACGCTTGAGCGATTTTTAAGATAGTATACTTAATGTTGAATTTCGTATATGTATTTATTGTACTTAAATATTGTGCAAAAAAAGATAAAATACCTCTAGATTGTACAATTTACATTCTAAATGTGATTTTAAAGATCATGTATTACATTCATCTTTATATAAAATATATGTAAAGTAGAAATCTCTGTTTGTTTGTATGTCCAATCATAACTCAGGAATCCCTTGACCGAATTGCCTCGAATTGTTTAACTGAAGAACACGGTAGAACCACGGGAATTTTCATAGCTTGGTGTAAAGTTCTAATTTGAAAATGTTGCCTCTTATAAAGAAAACTTTGTGTCAAGACAAAGCTGGGTTCCCAGGCTATATAAGTGAATAATGTATGATTTAAGAAAATTCTTACAATATATTATACGCAGTAAAAAATAGCCCTTCCCCCTGGTATCCACCCTCGTCAGAATTCGAATATTTTAGTGTCAATTGACATATTTCCTATTGATATGAATACTCGAGTAAGTAAGAATTTTCAATGTATGCCATGGAACTGAATATACAATATACATGTGTTCTAATAAGTTAATAAGAACAACCTGGTTTATCTCAGTCTAATCCGAAGACTAGGACTGGGTGGAATTTATATTTTCTTAATCTTAATAAATTCCAAATCTTGGACAGAAAGAGAGAAAGACAGTAATCTCAGGTTCGTTTCTCCAGAATTGGAGTTTAACTAGGGGAGTAAAATTTCTCTTGGTCTTTATCAAGACCCAGACATTTGGTCCCAACCTTGGTTTTAGGTTTATAACTAAATTTATTAGACCCGTAAACATTCCAATGTGTGAGCGTATGTGTACCCCCTCTGCCCCCCCCCCCCATATCAAAACAAATATTTCTCAACAAAAAACAAGTCCTGCAAAGCTAAAGTGCTACACAGTTTTTAAATTATTATAACTAAGGACCGAATTTAATGAATTGCATGAATCTTTAACTTTGAATCGGTGATCCAAATTTGAACCGCCAGTAGGTGTTTAGCGACCTAGCTTAAATTTATTAAATTCGGTCCCAGAGCTTAAAATGACTGGCAACAATAGCATTTAACGTTATTATACCCTCACATTTTTATGATGTGTTGAATTAAAGATTATTTGTGGAGAAAACTAATTTAGAAGTTAAATAACCAATTAGCAATTCATCGCTTGATTGCCTTCACTTTCATTCTACACATTTATTCATGCAAATATAATAAAAAATGGGATGAAAAGTTGAAAGTTTTATTTTTATAATTAAATGGACTAGAATCGTAGATTTAAGCAAAGATGTCGATGCCAGATTCACAACATGACCCAATAGCGTGAAAGATATTGTTAGTTTTTTAGGCTAAAAAGTGTTTAATTTTTATATTTCCTGTCTGTTTTTATGCAGTAGAATTGCGCAAGTCACTTTTGTAGAAAAACGTAATTGTAAAAAATCAGTTTTTAAAATCATAATCAATTATATCTAATTCATACTTGAACAGATGTACAGAGCTTTTAAGCGTACCGTTGTGAATCGGGCATTGCCATCTTTGCATAGAGGGCCTATAGAGTGTTACTGGTAATTTCTTTTAGAGTCATTCAAACGTAAATCATGAAAACTTGGGGTAAACATTTTAAATCAGAGCATCAAGGAGGCAAGGTGCAAGAAAGTGTTACTACGGGAGAAGCCATGAAAAAAATTTAAATACAGAAGAAAAATCAAATGATTAAAATTGCATCATCTTTGTCTGATTTTACGAATTCTTGTATATTCTGATTGAAAAAGTTAGATCATGTTTATTGCGTTCTGTACAAAAAATAAGAATGAAAATATAATAAAATACAAAATTTACATGGTGAGAAAACTTTTATGACTCGTTTAATTTATAAAACCTTAAGTCTATTTACCTGCTGCGCATTTCAAAAATTGCGTTTTTACATTTTTTCTAAGACTTGGTTTCTGAAAAAAAGTACGTTTTAGAAAGGTTATGCCCAGTATCATCAAAGTTTAATTGGTTCCTAGATTTACTCAAAAAATAAGGATTTTTCTTCAACTATTTTTTCAATTAACAAAAAAATAAAAGTAAAATCAACTTTCTTTTTTTCTTGCTTCTTCAAAAATCTTGTTTTATCTAAAAGTAGTGATATTTTGTCTAGTTTTATCATGAAATATTTTATTTCTAAGAATTATTTTTAAATTTTGTTTTACAAAACTTTTTCTATCATTGTAGAATATATTATTCATAAAATTTATTTTCTTTTTCTAAAATATATCTTTGTTTGTTTATTTCAAAGAAACTGGGGGCATAAAGCGAGAATTGCAATAAATGCATTAAATGCAATTCCATCTTTAATATATTTAGACAATTCCACTTTTAGTTAATTTAGTCTTATTTAACTTTTTAACTCATTCCATATTCAATATTTTATATTATCCAATTAATCCAAGAAAAAAGGTTTCAAAGTATAATTCTGAATAGTCGCAAGACAGACCAAAAACCACTGGAATAACAAGGGACCCAACCCATGAAAATCCGGGCGCAAGACAGCAAGAACACCTTAACATTCTAATCCAAGATAAACCAAGTACTGCGGAAATTTGAAATTAAAGGGATCCAACCCCTTTTGTAGAATCCTATGATATAAGAGACACCTGACCCATGGAATTTAACGGACACATTATTAACCCCTTTAAATTCTAAGTTGGGCAAACATCGTACTCCTGAAATTAAAGGGATTTCAAATATATTCTAGACCACGAGCTTTTAGAAAAAAGGGACTGAACCCTTCAAATTAATGAATTGGAAGTTAAAGTGCCAACCCATCTGGATCATGAGAAAGGGCAGACTAGGGTTACCGGGGAAAAGGGACTCAACAAAAAAATGATGTAATATATCATAATCACATTAATCTTGCAAGAAGCATGATCTTTTCCATAAAGTTTGTCTAATTTATCATTTCCATTTTTGTTTGAAATTGGCAGACAGTCCCTTTAAGGATACAGGATAAAATGGCTTGGAATGTTAATGAAGTTGGGCGCATCTAGAAAGTTTCATAAAATCTCCATAATTTTTTGTTCCTGATTGGATTCAAATTATACAGAGAGGTATGTTCACAAAATAGTGGAAAGAAAAAAAAGGTTTGGGATGTTTAAACTTATACACTCATCTTCTTTCACTTGTCCTCCAATATTTTTTAGTTTTTTTCTGAAAGCCTCACAATATTTAAAAAATAGTAAGTTTGAAAAAATAAATTTAGTCTTTGACGCAAACTCAAATTTTCTAATCTCTATATATTTGCAACTTGATCTACACGATATTTCAAACTAAAAAATTTGAAATTTGAAATATCGAAGGTTTACAGGTTTCAAAGATATAGGAATTAGAACATCAGAATTTGTGACAAAGGCTTAATTCATTTAATGATTAATGAAATCTCAGCTCGTTTGACAAATGAAAAAATATTAAATCGAGTATCATTTTCAAAAATTTTGACTATTTAAAAAAAAATTTTGATTCACGCTAATCCAAGTGTCAACAATCAACGCTTAAAATTGCTGATTTAATATTTCACTGATTTGTTCACAAATAACACCAATCACTGCTGGACCTGGAGCGACAAATAAAAATCCTCAAAAGTTCTCTCATTTTTTAAACGTCATTAATTAATGAATTTTCAGAAAATTATGAAAATAAAATCTGAAGATTACAATCAGAAAATATATGAATTGTGGAAAAAAATGCAAGTTTCTAAATTTAATCCATTTTTCTTGTTTATTTTTTTTTGAAAAATCACTCTTTAATTTATCATTCACATCGTCACTTTCATGTTTAATCAAGTTATATATCCCGGGTTCGAGTTGTTTTGTCTAAGTATAGGGTTCAAGCTCAAGCTCCGTCCTAGGACTAAAACTGAGATTAAAGTGTACACTTGAATACGCCGGATGGTCAAATCTGCGGCACCCTCACCTCACAGTTTTAAACCAACCTGTGTCAATACGACGACGGGCGAAAGGGGGGCCGGGACGGGGCCAGGAGGGGGGCGGTCATAATTAATCATCAAAATTTTTTCTATTATAGAGAAAATAACATTAAAAATTTTGTAGAAATTTGTTTCTTAAAACCTTTTTTTCGTTATTTTTATTAGATACACTACATGATTACAATATTCACAAAACAATAAAAAATGTATCACCTGGGGCCTTCCTTTTATTCAGGTCCTTCCTGTCTCTATGAGGACTATACAGTATAACTACAATCTAGACTAAAGGAGAAGGTTAATCTGGCAAAATTAAACAGCTAAGAACATGTGTTGGATAATCCACTGTGTGCAGTGGGAACTTTTAATTTGAGGATTCATGCTTAATCTCAACGATCGATCTTTCTATCCACAATGCAAAAGTTCCCAGATCGGGTTACAAAGATATGAGGATTAAAAATTTAGATCTTAAGGCAGTGCTAGCAGTTTTTTGCATATAATAATAGTTTTACAAAAATGGTTAATCTATATTTATGAAACTTCTAAAAAAATGTTTTTGTAGATTGTTAAGATTGTAATAGAACATAAAGATAAACATGTAAAGTTAGCGGAAATAGCATGAAATGTTTAATTTTTAACCCTTCTGCATTACATACACATATACTTCTTAACCCTGTATATACTGGGATTTAACGTGCCCACTGGACTATGAACATATATCAACTTTCTCTATCTTCTATATCTGTTTTTAATGAATGATTTAAATCATGCATATCAGAAATGTAATTAATCGTTAGTTTTGTGATTTTTAAGGTGGATTGTGGAATTTTTGAAATAAAATCATTCCATTTTCGGGATTTTAATGAATAAATGTAGTTTTGGAGGATTTTACCAGTAGTCGTGTTAAAAAAGTTAAAACTTTAAAAAGAATTATAACATTTAAAAAGGCTGTTATTCCTTCCTTGAATTTGTGTTTCAGGAGATTTTCTATTTGAAGTTTGTCTTTCGGAGTCTGTCTTTCAGGAGTTTTTCTTTTAGGATTTTATCTTTCAGGAGTTGGTATTTCAGGAGTTTGTCTTTCAGGAGTAGCTTTTTAAGGAGTTTGTCTTTAGGACTGCCGACTGTGTGAATTAAAATTGTCTGTTTGTGTCCGAATATTTCTGTCTGTTTGCGCGCGGATATTTATATCTGTTTGTGTCCGAATGTTTCTGTCTGTTTGTGTCCGGATATTTCTGTCTGTTTGTGTCCGGATATTTCTGTCTGTTTGTGTCCTAATATTTCTGTCTGTTTGTGTCCGGATATTTCTGTCTGTTTGTGTCCGGATATTTCTGTCTTCTGTTTGTGTCCTAATATTTCTGTCTGTTTGTGTCCGGATATTTCTGTCTGTTTGTGTCCGGATATTTCTGTCTGGTTGTGTCAGGATATTACTGTCTGGTTGTGTCCGGATATTTCTTTCTGTTTGTGTCCGGATATTTCTGTCTGTTTGATTGTGTGTGTGTTCGGTTTAGTGTGTAATCAAGTTACTGTGTTAAGTCTATGTTTGCCTGCGGGGTATAAAATCAACCAAATTATTACATGCTCTTACAGTCATAAAATACCATGGAATTTGCATTGTGTAGAAACTAAGCTATAACATAGTACACGTCTGTTTGTCCGTCTAATATCGTCTGTTAAAGTGTCTGCATGTGTATACTCTCCTCTTTCTACGTGTCTGTCTGACTATACTCGAGTCTTTAGTTTCTGTCCCTTTTATGTTAAAAATTTCTGTCTGTCTACAAATTTGTCTTTTAGAGTGTCTGTTTGCCTATATTCTCGTCTTTCTAACTGACTGTCTGGCTATACTTTAGTATTTTAAAGTTTCTGTCTATCTATACTATTGTCTTCTGAAGTTTCTGTCTATCTATACTATTGTCTTCTGAAGTTTCTGTCTATCTATACTCTTGTCTTCTAAAGTTTCTGTCTGGTTTCACTTTTGTCTTTTAAAGTTTTTATCTGTTTACATTCTTATATATTATAGTTTCTGCCTGTCTACGATTTTGTATTTTAACGTGCAGTGTGTTTGTCTTTACTCCCATCTTTCTAACTGTCTGTCTGACTATGCTCTAGCCTTTAAAAGTTTCTTTTTGTCTAAACTCTTGTCTTTAATATATACAGCAATTGTCTTTTAAAGTTTCTGTCTTTCTAAATTCTAGATTTTATTACAATTGTAATGTCGTATATGCGACATTTCTGGCAGTGGCATTAACTTTTTTGGCCCTAGATCGAACAATTAAAAAATTTTTAAAAAATCAACAAATGGATTTATTCACTAGTTCGATGCGCAATTTTAGATATCAATATCGACATGTTTCGAAAAATTTGAAAAATCGACCTTCCTTTGCAATCTATAATTTTTAAAGACCTATTTTTAAAAAACCAAAAAAAAATTCAGAATGTTTTTTTGTAAGCTAAAATTCGTGTTGCTAATTTTAGATTTTTAAAAAATATTTTCATAGAACCTTATGTTTTGGCTTATTTTGTTTGTCTTATAGACAAACAAAATGAGCCAAATATTAAACGTTAAAAATAAAAACACTAAATATACAATATGTGCAGCATAGAACCACAAAGACGTAATGGTTTGAAAAATGATTAATTTGCGGTCTAATATGAAGATTTTGATAAACATATGTAATAATTTAAATATGCAAAAAAGTACAATATTTTCATATTCTCCAGTTTCTAGGTAAATGCAAGATCTTTATATTATCCAGGTTCTCAGTAGATACAAGATAAGTTTATTCTGCAGGTTCTACAGTAGATACAAGATCTTTATATTCTCCAGGTTCTACAGTAGATACAAGATCTTTTTATTCTCCAGGTTCTACAGTAGATTTAAGATCTCCAGGTTCTACAGTAGATATAAGATCTCCAGGTTCTACAGTAGATATAAGATCTCCAAGTTCTACAGTAGATACAAGATCAATTAATTTTCCAGGTTTT